TGTTCTTTTTTGCAAATGCCAAACTATGCAGTGAAATCACAAGCATGATGATGGGTAACCTAATAAATTAAACTACAGAATTTAGCTCATTGGGATCTTGCTGTTTATTGTGGTTCGCTGTAGTGGCATATTTTGTGTTACTGCATAGGCTTTTTCGCCATCTTGTTTACACTTCCAGTGAGTTCACAGATTGGGTTATAAAAGGTCCAGGCAAAAAACAAAAAGAAGTTTAACTCGGAAGTAAATTAAATTATAAGCAGGTATTTTCAGGCAGACAATTTTGTCAATATTGATATAAATAGGGACACTTTGATTACATGGTGGTTTTCTATTCAGATGTTGTTCTTTATCCATTGTATGTAAATAGTAATTCTTGTATTTTGCAGACTAGTTGCACCCTTTTTAAAGAAGGATAGGTAGGAGAGATTTGTATATTGCCTTGGTGGTTTTTAGCATGTTAGTAGTATAAAAATTAAAAATGTGAGTGATACGAACATGGTGACAAAAATATGGACCTTTACAAAGACCGCTTAAAATGGCTTGCTACAAAAGGCTAGTGAACATGTATCGTAACTGTGTTTTCAGATGGAGAATGGTTGTATTTGGAAAGCGAATAGAATGACATTAAGAGCGCCAAAATAAATTTACAATGATGGTACCTTTTTATAACGTAAAGATTGTCTTAAAATTAATCCAATTTTGAAATGACATTAATGCTCATCACTACATTTTCTCATTAGTACGATATATTGCATTTTGCTAAATTCCTTTTGTTGCTATTTTTAACGCAGCTAAATCAGTACATGCATTTATTATCCTAAAATGGCACTGAGTTTAATGTTGAGTTTAATCCCAAATCAGACCCAGGACATTCAACAGTGTGCAGACTCACACCAAAACCAGGGCTAGAAAAGTTATTGACATTGTTTCTTTTCCCAGTTCTGATCTGGTTTTCACTGGAGTGTTTACATGCCTATAGCTCCATCAAGGACACCCTTGATGTCAGGGGTTGTTAAGTTGCCAGCCACAAGTGGCATGATGTTTAGAAGTGCTAGGGACCATTGCCATTCTTCCATGGCTAGATATAGTCCAGGCAACAGAGAAGATGAAGTTGCGCCTGATCCAATCCACTATACTTGGCTGAAGGATAAGCACTCTTCTGTCTCTTCAGTTGGCTCCACCAAGTTATTCTTCCTCAAAAGCCCCCTAGCCTCCCACTCCTCAGAAGTGAAGAGGACAAAATGAGAACAACGCCTGGTAAACAGCATTCGGGAACTCTACAACTTGATCAAAGTGTAGGAAGAAGGAAACTGTCCCACACCTTCCCCCTTTTTCCTCCAGACTCTCATCTTGGAGATTGAGGTTCAGGCTGACATCAGAGAGGGAAGAGGCAAGCAATCAAATAGAGATGAACCCAGTTGCCACCCCTTATCACACCTAACTCAGACACCTTCCTTCAGGACAAGAGAGATAAGGGGGAAGGTGAAAGGTCCCTAGACAAGAAGAAAGACTAATAGGTAATCCTCTAACTTATTAGACTTTAAAAAAAACCCCACTTCTCACAATTTTGTAAGAAAGTCTGTAAGATTTAATTGAGGATAGGAGAAAAAGGAAGACCTACCCCTAATCTAAAACATTACAGCAAGGTCAGTAGATTATCAAGCTACCTCTTTCATTTCCTCAGTTGTAGCTAAACCCTGACTCAAAACACTCATCTCACTCTGGAGGAGGCAAAGTTTCCAAAACATATCACATCAACCTCAGCTTTGATTTGTGGAAGAATGCCTTCCACTAAAAGTAGAGCAAATATACAGACAACAGTAATCATTACAGTCTCCGTGTATGCAAGAGGCTAATGGAATTCATCCAGCTATGAACTGTCATGATGCATGTTTCCTAAACACAGACTCATAATGCCATATCATAAAATCCACAAGCCTATATCAATATTGCTCTGTTGCACTCTCCATTCACTCACAAGGCAACAAAATATCCCGAAGGCTTAAATCATCTTTTGAGTGTACAAGTGATTGGATAAATCCCCAAAGATGAGACATTCTTGGGCTGATATCCCATATTCTTCATTGTTCCTAAAAAGAGCAAGGAATGGTATAACGTTCTGGATCTGAAGTGAGTGACATCAAATAGAACAAGTTTGGATGGAAACTCTGAAATCCATCATAAAGGGATAAAATGCTCCTCCCCCCAAAATGATCCAGCCTCACAGGTTACAGAAGAATTCTGACTACTGATTTCAAGTCACTTATTCAAACACTAGGAGCACACTGGAATACTCGCTGTTCACCATGGTTCTTCCATTTGACTTGTGTTCAATTCCCAGTGAATTCACAAAGATGATAGTGATTGCAATAGCCCACTTAGATCCAGAGAAATATACATAACTAGGTGACCACCTCATTCTATTCTGTTGATTAAATGGGGAGAGACATCTGAAATCATCTGGGCTTCCCAAGGATACAGACACTTAATCTGTAGAAATAAGAGCATCATTCAACCAGTGCTTAACTTAAAGCATATAAATGTTATTAGATGCACTGAAAGGAGGCTATCCAGCTGTTTGTTTTTGCTTCTCAAATCAGATACTCTATCTTACGACTCTTATCAGTCTCCAGTAGCTGATGATGGTATAGACTCAATGACATGGATGAAATTCCCCTCCCCTCTATCTGATGCTGTTTCCTTTCCAGGACAAAGATTCAAAGATCCTGGAGAAGCTTGGAAATTCATTGAAGAGCTCCATCAGATGGTGCCTCTTGAAAGCCCTATTCAAGGATAGGGATGTGGTCCTTTTGCTAGATCCAGGTCACAACTCATGGTTGTGGACATGCTCAAAGTCTATTTTTAAAGCAGTGTAGCCTTGAGTCTAGGACAATAGTCCCCAACCATTTGGGCACCAGGGACCGGCTCCATAGAGAGAGGTTTTTCCACGGATTGGAGGCGTGGTTTCATGTGTTGCCTCATCCCTACTTATGTTCATATAAGCCATAAAAATTCAAATTTAACAGGCCCAGAACTGAATCATCCAGAAGCTAAAGTTTCAGAACTTTTTATGAAAACAATACAGTGCAAATGTAATTTTCTGACGGTGAAAGAAATATATTGAGGGAGCCCTATTTATTTCCTGAGACAGCAAGTTGGATAAAAAAGCACAAATAATTAAGATCTGTGTGGCCTTAGACATGTTGGCTGTGTAAATTATGGATGATGGCCTCAGTTGCTAAGCGGTACAAGTAGACAAACACCTGTTTTAATGTGATAGTTTCCCATGATAGTCATGGCTGAGGTCATAGTAAGATCTCACCTAAGGATTTGTAGTTTGGTTAGATACACGTGACACCATTACTCTGGGAGCTTCCATTGTGTTTCTGGTATAATTCAAGGCACTAGTTGTTACTTTAAAAACTCTTAATGGCTTGGGACTCCTTGATTGTCTCTCCCCAATTGTGTCACCCCATCTTACCCAACTTGGCAGGAGTACCATCCTTTGTGTACCATTGGCTAAGAAACGCCAGGGGGCTAAGAAGCAAAACCTTTTCTGCCTTGACACCTGCCCTTTGAAACATCATCCATCTTGAGATGAGATTGGTCCCATCCCTGCTGACCTTCCATCAGGCCTTGGGTTTTGTGCCTGACTCCTACCTGTGTAGTTAATTGGTTGAATGATGCTTGGCTGTTATGGGTTTTCATGTTTTGCATTTTATTGCTAGTCGCCTAGAGTCACATATGTGAGACGGGCAGTGATATAAAATACATACATACATACATACATACATACATACATACATACATACATACATACATACATACATCTCAGTGATTGCCAGGACCTTTTTAGTAGGAACAAATTAGAAATTTGTTTTCCCAGCATTTCCTAGCTATTGTAAAATTAGCACGTACAAGAAGCTTCCCTACTTAACTCACAGGAGAAGCTGCTCTTTTGTGACATCCAGTGAACATCTTGGCCTGGATATCAGTGTTAGCTTTAGCAAGCCTTGAAAGTCACTAACAGCTCTGAGGTAAAGCTTATTATGGAACTGGCTATCTTTGGCATTGCATGTTGGTTAATCTGATGCTATGAGCTTATAGTTTCTGAGGTATTTATCTAAAAAGGATTTATGAAATGGGACTGTTGATGAATGCATGAAACTTTTCATTGGAGATTATATCTGCAGAGAAGTCTTATAGCTGGTAGAAGAGATTAGTGGTACATGTTACCTTTTTGATGAAATGATGAGTGTGTAGTAAAATAGTTAAAATAGTATGTGGTAGATAACAGGCCTTTAAAATCCAGGGGATTAGTCAGCTGAAGGCTGACAGCTGTTCTTGGCTAAGAGCCTCTTGGTACGAAAACATGCTTTATCTTGATGATAACATTTTAATGTTTAGTTTGTTTCTCATAGGTGTATCATAGTTTCAGACATTAATGGAATTTATGTTTTCTTTGGGTCACTAATATTTTCTGAAAAATAGCAACAATTAATATTTTAAAAAATCTTGCACAGAGACTGAGATTCAGGAAAAGTAACTACATAGCTTTCCACTCCTGTTTTCTTAACATCTTTCTTTCTCTATATCTGTTTTCCTCATAGAGGAATCCAGAAACTGCATTTACATTAATACCAGATACTGTTTCATATAATATGATTAAACAGGAGCCATTGTTAAAGCTTTAACAATGTGTTTAAAATAGCAGTGACATTGCTGACACCAAAAAAGTGCATACTTTGGGAATAAAGTTTTCTGTAGTTTACTGTATTGTGATGAAGTTTTTACTTATAATGTATTTCTACCAGAATTAAAATTGACTTGTAATTGCAATGGATTCCTTTCAGTCTTGGATATTTTTTTAGTGTGATCAATAGAATTGTGTTTGTTTCTATAATATTTATTTAAAATTGCTGATCTCCTTTCTCCCAATTCTTTTTTAGGAAGACCTTATATTAATTAACATCTGGTGAAGTGGAAATTAAGTAAAAGTCATGTTGGAAACAATTGGTAAGATATAGTAATAAAGTTCATTTAGAAATACTAAATATATTTAATATAGTTTATTAATTAGTATATACTTAATTCCAGCAGTTACAGTCTCATGTTGAAGAATCATGTTAATTTAACTACTGATCTTTCTAACAGAAGATAAATGGGAGTATTCCTCAATAAATAAATCATTGGTGTGTGTGTGTGGTGGGCAGGGGTGGGAGTCCAAAGGAGGAAAAGCAGAGAGTATGCACAGGGTTCACAGCAAATCACTGTGACACAAAATGATGTATTTGGGTCCTGAATGTAAATCATAGTGGTGGTAGTAGTAGTAATATAATAATAATAATAATAATAATAATAATAATAATAATAATAATAATAATAATAATAATAATAATAATAATAATAATAATAATAATAATAATAATAAAAAAAAAGTTGGGAGGGACCTTGGAGGTCATCTAGTCCAATCCCCTGCTCAGGCAACCCTATATCATTTCAGACAAATGGCTGTCCAGTCTCTTCTTAAAAACTTCCAGCATTCACAGCTTCTGGAGGCAGGTTGTTCCACTGATTAATTGTTCTAACTGTCAGAAAAAAGTTTTCCTTAGTTCAAGGTTGCTTCTCTCTTTGGTTAGTTTCCATCCGTTGCTTCTTGTCTTGCCTTCAGGTGCTTAGGAAAATAGCTTGACTCCCTCTTCTTTGTAGCAGCCCCTGAGATATTGGAACACTGCTATCATGTCACCCCTCGTCCTTCTCTTCATTAAACTACACATCCCCAATTCCAGCAACTGTTCCTTATAGGTTTTAGCCTCCAGTCCCCTATTAGTGTGATGCCATTGTCATGAATGACTCATCATTTGTCTTCCTCTTAAGTCCTCACTTGTGGGTCATGATAACATATCAGAGATTATTTATTTAACCGCATGAACAATTCTATATGGGATTGGGCATTGATCCATGCATGCATAGGCAACCTCAGCAGCTTGGGTGTGGGTTGCATTTGCATTAATGTAATTAATTGCATAAATTAAAAGGATAAAAGCAGCATTGCAATATAAACCACATCCCTTTTGCGTTGGAGTACAAAATTATTGTGAGTGTACAGAAAAAGCCAGGACTTGTTTTGTGATTCTCCAGGGCTACTTTCATCATTCTCCAGATGTTGCTGCTGTATGCATATTCTGATTTACAGCAAATCTCCTCCCTCTTGCCCGGTATTGGCTCTAATATTCTCCTGATGCAAAATATCACCCAAAATCATCCTAGATGATGTTGGAATGCAAAAGAATCAAATTGAGTTAGGTTACAAACAGAACAAGCTTAAGACCCTGTGTTTGAGGCTTAAGGCTGTCTTCCTTTCAAATTTCGTTTGGTTTTCACTATAATTTAAAGCAGTCATGTAAACAGTCATTTAATGAATCATCTAGGCCAGTGATGGCGAACCTATGGCACGGGTGCCAGAGGCAGCACTCAGAGCCCTCTCTGTGGGCATGTGCGCCGTCGCCCAAGTCCTAGGCCTTCAGCTGGGTTTTATAAAACCTTTTCACTTTAGGCCTCTGCCACCGTGGGCAAAAAAAAAAAGGTTCAATCAGTCAATTTCAACTTCTCGCGGGAAAAAAAATCTTGCAAAATTGGCATTGATTGATTGAACTTTTTAATCCCACCCAGTCTGCCGTTCCCACCACAGCCACACCCACCCAATGGGCCACGCCCAGCCAATGGGCCATATCCACCCGGCATCCGACGATGCATAAGTGGGTTTTCGGTTGCAGTTTGGGCACTCGGTCTCCAAAAGGTTCGCCATCACTGGTCTAGGCTTTGGGCAATGATCACAATTTATGGAATTTATCTCCAAAACTTTTTTCAACTTGTCTGAGCACCTTGGGAGTTTGGGTTATGATTTTTATATGTAATGATTTCTACCATATAGTGTATAAACGTGGTGAAGATAGCATGTCACAGTTAAATGTGGGTTTTTTTTCCAGATATTCACCGAGCCCTCCAGGCAGTAGAACGCCTGCAAGCAAAATTACGAGAACGGGGTGATTCCGGAAATGAGGAGAAATTAAGTTTACTAAAGTCAGTACTGCAGAGTCCTTTATTCAATCAGATCCTAAACCTACAAGCTTCCCTTCCGCAGTCACGAGATCAGGTAGGACAGGACCATCAGAAGGGACAAAAGAAAATGCCGATAAATCTTTGCCAGATCTTTTCATATGATGACTCTGTGAATAATTAACACATGTATGTTGAACGGTTAAACAAAACGTTGCATTTGGTAGTGAACTCTATTGAGCTTCTGTAAATTCAGCATGGTTAGCATTTTTTAAAAGGAAACAGATGGGTATTTTACAATATAAATGTTGCTTATGTTAATATGCATTCATAATGTACCATGATTAAAGATAGTGCTTCTACTAAAATGGGGATAACCTTATTAATTATCAGGCTGTTTTGCTAAACGCAACATGTTTTTAAAAAGATAAAAATAATATTCTTAAAACGCATCATAAGAAGTTAGCCTTGTTGGAAGTAACACTGCTGATTAAACTTGCATAGGATCGTATTCGTAAGCTTAATTCAGACAGCATTTGGCTTGGTAGAATGTATGAATTAGCAAAAGCGTAGCGTATGATTGGTTAACAATCTGAAATCAGAAAAAAACCATTTGAAGTTGGGTATCTGTAGATTTTACTGTTTGCTACTGCTGAGTAGAGCATACGTTAAATAACCAAGTACATACATCATAGTTTTCTGAACCTATGCATGGATTATGTTCTAAGCCATGATTACTCCACTCATGGATAACATATCTCTGAATCAGGCAGAATATAGTCTTGCTAGACCAAAATGGTGATGGCAAGTAATAACTTTGATTGCTTTGTTCTGCCTTTGTTTTTCCTGCCTTTAGTTTCCTCTGTAGTGATCTGGCAAATGTTTGTCTCCTTGCCATATAAAGAGATAAAAGTAACCATATCATTGCAGAGAGTGGCTATGCTTTCATGATATGATACATATGGTTAATTTAAACATGGCTTTCTCAGTTGCCCAAATTTTCTGGAATTGCATGACATACAGAAGTGTAAAGTAACCAGATGGGCTGGATTCACATAACACACCAAGCTAAAAAATGTGGTTGGCTAGTATGTATAGAAACAAATTGCAGAGCTATGAGCTTGTATCATTAATTGTACGCTCTGAGCTTGGTTGTTTTCTTGCAGACGTTTCATTATCTAACTAGGTAATACCATCAGTACTAAAAGAGGGTGGAGCTTGCTCTCTGTTTATATAATTGTTCAGTTTCCTTCTTTTATTAGAATGACAATTGGAAACTTTTGCCTTCTATGTTTGAGTGCAGTGCAAATTATCATTAATGTAGTTCATATAATCCATGTTTTATGGGTTTGATTTGTATATCAATAAGCCAATTTTTAAAATCAAGGTTTGCTGAAGAAACGGACGTGCTTTGCATATTAATCAAACTCAAAAATGGTCTTGCTCAGTCAGGCCAAGACCTTTCTTTAATCCAGGATTTTGTTTTTCACAGTGGCCAACTCAAGAGCAGGTGATTGAGATAGGATCCTCCCTTGCCATTGTTTCCCTTCAGGTGACATTAGCAGTCATGCTGCCCTTGAGTCTTCAAGACTAGAGATTATGTTCTCTGTAAATGCATCTAATCTCATTTTAATGCTGCTCAGGTTTGTGGCCCTGACAACTTGTGGTAATGAATTCCACATGTTAATTATATGGTGGTTTTTGAGTGAGTTAACACTTCATGCAAAGCCAAAAACCAAACCTCTTGCGCCTTAGTGATTTGTGTAAACTAGGACCAAAGGTGACATGTTGAAGTTAATGGTGCTTATTGTCAGCCACAAATCCAGGTCATGTGGCAAACTTTAATTAAAAGGAGAAGTAAAATCTTCCAAATTTCTTCTCTTGGCCACACACCACAAAGACAGGAAAGAGTCTTAAGAAGGAAAAGTTGTTGCAGATTGTGTGTATTGTAGTAAACAGTGATTGATAAATATCTATAAATATATTTAATATCTTTCAATGGAATTATTCCAAAAACTTTAGGCAACAAATTAAAAGAGCAAAAGTGCTGAACTTTTTTTTTTTTTTTAAATGGAGCTTGAAGCATTCTTTGTGGACATATGAACATTCTTGAGAACAGGAATTTGACCTGAGCAATGATTACCAAGCAGGTTTTATAACAGAAAGGAGATTTATTTATAGGAAACACAATATATGGATAGACAATCTAGCACCTAACTAACTGAATCCTCCAAAGAGGAATCAAAGGAACTTTTGGTCTATGTGTGTCCTCCAGGGAAGCAAAGGCAGAAAGGTGTGAGCTCGGATTAGCAAATTCAAAAAACAGAGGGGGGAGGAATGATAGACAAAAAGGGCACACATTAAATAATTAACTCTTCATACTCTACTGATTCCTAGAGGACAATAGGTCATAAAGTATGAAAGAGTCAGTGCCATTGGATTTAGTCTTCCCAACATTTTAAAACATAATGGCTTAGCTAACAGTTTAAATTTTGACCTTATATCAGCTATGAGGATGTTAAAATTGGCACTGAAATTGTGAAAGAAAACACATTGGGGAGAAGGAGAAAAAGAAAGCTAATCTGAATTCCTGTTCTTCACATAATAGTGTGGCTGCAACGCCCACCTAGAATGTGCTGAAGTGAACGGAATGCAGTTATTAAATCTGAATTGTTGCATGTCTTTGTATAATTGAATGCTTTACAAAGCCTTCAATGTCTGTCACATATGGTAAGAAAGTGTAAATGTGATCTTTCTTCCTGCCCTATGTTTTCTCTTTCCCTCTTTGTGCAACTAAAGCTCAGAATTTAAAAAACAAATGCCACCAACTTTGAATTTTTTTTTAGCCTAAACTGCTTACATAATGTAAATGCAATTGAGGTAGATTTTTTAAAAAATAGATAAATTGCAAACTAAGTACTGAAGTGTCATCTGATTGCCATGAAAGTTTAAATGTAATGCCAAAATGTATGTTTTTATCATATGTAGTGGCATCAGAGACTACTTTTATTTGTTCCCTGCCAAATAGTGCCAATATTGCAGATGTTAATATACAGGAAAAGGAAAGGTGATTGTAGCAAATTAACATAAGGCAATTTATAGAACAAAGCAACGCTTCTTTTATATGGAGCATACATAATCACTTTACTACCTACCTCTTGATGGAATTATGGTAGCTGAATTACTGAGCAGAGAAACAGTTCATATGAAATGAAAAAAATGACTTATAAGTGTAAAGCATTTTTTTTGCAAAGATCCTAAAATTATTATTGTGCTATTAAAATCATATTCCAAAAGCAGAGTAGGCCCAGTGATAAGGACTGTCGTACAAATGTTCTAATAGTGTCAATAAAGGAGAATATTTGTAGCTCAGGGATGAAATAAGGGCTCCTTGATTGTCTCTGAGCTTGGTTGTCTTCTTGCAGAAGTTTCATTACCCAAACTAAGTGACATCATCAGTGCTCAGCAGCAGCAACAGCACTGATGATGTTACCTAGTTTGAGTAACGAAACGTCTGCAAGAAGACAACCAAACTCAGAAAGCACCAAGAACCCCTCAGTTCTAATAGTAAGATGAAAATACTCCAGTGCATCTTTAAATAGCATCACAATTGGCTATTATATATACACAAGACCAAGAAACATTTCCATCCAATTGAAGGCGGTGACTTCCACATTTCTGGAAATGTGCATTTGAATTCAGTTTTGCAAAAAAAAGTGGAAATATTACTGCATCAATGAACCATGTTTGGTCCTATTTGTGTACTTTTAACAGTGAATTCCTTGGCCTGTATTATATATGCAGAAATATTGTAGTCACACGATTGATATTGTACTTCTCTAAGAAATAATTGTAGTGAAAGACCTACAAAACACAAACACTACAGCACCAAGCAGTTGGTTCTAGTGTTAGTGGAGGTAACCCTCTCACATCTTACCTGTCCCCTGGCCATCTTGCAAGCCACCTTGGAACATGGAACTTCCTGCCAGCTTCCCACTGACTTTGTTTATTGAAGCCAGCTGGAAGATGCAAGGAGGTTCTCAGTGACTCAATGATTCACAATCTTTGCTTAATGACAGCAATATGAAGTGTCAAGATTGCCGTTTTTATGCAGTGTAGTCACGTGACATCTTCCTTCAGCTTAGTGGCTGAAATTTTGGTCCTTATTACCAGTGTTAACCAAGGACTACTTGTGGTTCTTTGTCTTTATACAGCTGTAAAAGCTTGTGACTACTTTAGGATTGGAAACTGTAACTTACCCTTGAAGGGCTAATTCTTAGCTTAGGTGCCCTTGGAAGGCAATTGAGGAAATAAGGTTCATAGAATGCAATGGATCTAGTTATAGTTTATGTTTTTTTTAATTGAAAATTTTATAAAAGTTTTACAATATAATTCCCCCCTCCCCAAAACCCACCCTTCCCCCCCACTTCCCAGAGCCTGTCACAGGGTTAACAATACAATAATCATACTTTATCTAACATTAATCAGCTATTAAAATAACAAATCTGTAACATCCTTTAACTCTCTTTTAAGCAAATATACTAGTATTAAACACAATAATTATAACATCATATTAATAATTAGAAATAAAAATAAGTAAACTATTATAACATATAAACAACATTAACTAAGATTCACTCAAAAACCAAGCTTGTGACTACTTTAGGATTGGAAACTGTGAACTACCCTTGAAGGGCTAATTCTTAGCTTAGGTGCCCTTGGAAGGCAATTGAGGAAGTAAGGTTCATAGAATGCAATGGATCTAGTTATAGTTTATGTTGACGCACTGAAATCAGTAGGACGTAATAGTCATTGATTTTACTGCACCTGGATCCTCCCAGAATATGTTAGAGAAAATGTAGCAAATCAGTAAGCATATTTTGTACAAGAATATTTTGCTCCGTGATATTAAGCTGTTACACTATAGCCTATATTAAATTATTGCAAATTTATACTGTATTTGTGATGTAGATTTTTGCTGTTGTTCATTCATTCCATTGCTTCTGGCTCTTCCTGGCCCAGCAGGTAGCGTTTCCCCAATACAGTATTTGTCAGTAACATTTTCTATGAGATCCAATTTGATGAAAGGTGATGCTGATTCTGTTGATGATATATTTAAGTTTAGTTAAAGACACCAGGCTGTGAGCTGGAAGACTGAGTTCTAGTCGTCCCATAGGCACAAAGTCAGCTGTATGACTTTGGGCCAATCACTTTCTCTCAGCCCTAGAGAAAAACATTGCCAAGAAAAGCGCAGGGACTTTTCTAGGCAATTGTCAGAAGTCAAGATTGACTTAAAGTCACAAAACAAAACACCTTCCATACTTGAGATTTTGTAAGTTCAACCTTCTGCCAACATTGATAATGGCTATCTTGACTTCTGTTGACCTTTTTTTTTTTACTTGCTTGGATTTTTCAAAGCATCACATTCTTCCTTGTGTTGGGCGCCCAAATATCTGAAGTTACATTTAATGCTTGCAATGAATTGGTGGGGTTTTACTTTGTTTAGTTTTAAATGATTTGTTCTTGTGATCCTGAAGATCCTCCTTGTAAAATCTCAAGTATTTCTCCATCACAACTAAGAAACATTTTTTTTATTTGGGATTTCTGATGATTTGGCTTTTCACAGGTAGATGATTTTTTAAGATAACCCATTAATCAATAAAACCCACTTTCTGTTTCAATTATTGCAGGCCATCTTCCCTAGCTGCAAAATTGAGTAGGAGCTATCAAGCCTCTTTGTCTGATATTATCTTTCATGCCTAATCAATCCTTTTTTGTACATGCAAGTCATTTTCTTTAATTAGGTTTAAAAACGATGATTATTAGAGTGGAGTGCCACTATCAATTAGTATAGATGAATTAGTAGTCAGTAATACATCAAAAGTCTGCTACAGTGTGTACTAAAGCCTTTTAAAAACCTAATTAAATCTTAACAATTTTGAATGGAGTGAATATGAATTAAGATTCTGTTCTTTTCTTTCGTAAGTAATATCAAGTTACAACAGGAAGCCTTTCCTTTGCCTTTTCAATTTTTGAGAGACAGCAGTGTTTCTTGCTAAATCAGTTTCTTTCTTTACATTGTGTCTTCCAAGAAAGGAGAGAATAATCTGTTAGACGAACTTCAAGGACAATAAATTCTAAAAGCGTGAAGCCTGACTTGCTTCTTAATAAATTAGTCTATCTCAGTGGTTCTCAACCTTTTTAATGCCGCGACCCCAACCGGTCATAAGTCGAGGACTAAACCGGTCGTAAGTCGAGGACTACCCAACCGGTCGTAAGTCGAGGACTTTCCCTGCCCGGGAGCGCCGCGCATGCATGGTTCCGCCCCCTGCGCCGGCCGAGGTGTAGCTGGCAAGCGGCAGAGATGGAACAGGCCGACCACCAGCTGGCCCAGCCCAAGGGAGGTAAGGCACCCGCCGGAAAAGGGGGAAAAATGGCGGACAAAAAAAATGGCGGACAGCCTTGCTTGGCGACCCCCGTGAAATGGTCGATTGACCCCAAATGGGGTCCCGACCCACAGGTTGAGAACCACTGGTCTATCTGATGAGAAATGCAGCCAGAAGATCTCCCCAGACTGTGTGATCTATCAACACAGATATTTTATTGGTTTTGATCTTTTTTCTGATACGATAGTCTCCAATATCATTGGTATCGCTCAGTTAAACATTCTAAATCTTATTCATTTCAGCACATAATTTGTCTTGCTGAAAGCAGTGGGACAAGTGCAGTCAAAAGATGAAGCTACCAAAAGTGTGTTTTTAGAAAGGAAAAAGAATGGGTTAGATGACGGGTAGTCCTCGAGTTACAGCCATTCGTTTAGTGATCCTTTGAAGTTACATTGGCAAGTGAAAAAAGTGAGGTGACTGGTTTTCACACAAGTGTTGCAGCAACTTCATGGTCACATGATCAAAATTCAGACCCTTGGCAACTGGCATGTATTATAGTGTCCCAGGATCACATGACCACCTTTTGCGACTTTCTGACAAGCAAAGTCAACGCGGAAGCCAGATTCATTTAACCACCACGTTACTAATTTAACAACTGCCGTGATTCACTTAATAACTGTGGCAAAAAAAAATAAATCCTAAAATGGGGAAGACCTCACTTAACTGTCTTGCTTAAGAACATACATTTTGGGCTCGGTTGTGGTCCTAAGTTGAGGACCACTTGCATACATTATTGTTATTTTGTGCTATTGTGAGGATGTAGTTGGGTCTTGTAGCTGTATGCAACCGAACTGTCCCTGACATTGAAGGAAATATGTAATTCCTTATTGATCTTCCTATAAAATAATTAAATCTAAAGGATTGTTTACTCTTAATGCTACCTAATGCTACCTATGGCTATTGTTTTTGTTGGTTTTGTTCTTTTTGTACTGTAACTGTATTTTTTGTGCTCTTAAATTTTAAAAAATGTTATAAACAACTTTCAGGTAAACCTTGCACCTTCCATCTCCTCATCTGGTGAGCACCTACAGCTTTCCCCTCATGGTAGTGTTGTGGGCTCCTCACTACACAATGACTCCTACTTGATGGCTCAAGAGAACAGTAGCCCTTCTAGTGGGCTAGGAATTGTTCTCCAGTCGATCACGCCTCAGATTAATGGGAAGCTTGCAAGCGATGAATTTGAATTACTGATCAGAAATATGGCACAGGTAAATTTTATTTAAATTAAATCTCGGTTAAATGATTGGGAACATCTAATTGATTTTTTTCAAAGACTTTCATTTCCTCTCTTGGGTTAACAACAATTTCCTCTATTATTAAATATGAAACTTGAGTTCTCTTCATATGTTTATTAAAATCAGGGATAGTGTTTCCATCTGTCACCGTATAGAGGAGGTGGGCGGCATAACATTTAATAAATAAATAAATAAAATTAAATAAAATTTGCAGAGGCAGCAGGGTTGAGTGAGTTGACATTACCTTCTCCTGTCACCCTCCATTCATAGAAGATATCCATTTATAGTCAAGAATTTCCTATACCCATGTAGGGTTTCCAAACAATTAATGATCCTGGTTTTTTTAACCATAGCGCTTTGTCAAAGACACATTTTAATGTCTATACTGGATGTATGTTGCTTGATTGTTTTCTTTCTTCATTAATATACAAATATTAAGTGAACCTTTTGGAATCAGCGCGTTTTTGAGTTTGTTTCAAAGTGGCTTTCCCCCATTGTTTTTGCTACTAGGGTCGACCTGTTGAGACGATAGAACTTGTAAAATCTCCAAGTGGTGGTCTTGGTTTTAGCGTAGTTGGCCTGAAGAGTGAATATAGAGGTGAACTTGGTATATTTGTGCAGGAGATTCAAGATGGAAGCGTGGCACAAAGGTGAGAGTTGCCTGTAAGCTGTACAATGAAAGAGATGTATAAATGGCAGCTTTCAGCTGGATTGTAAACATAAACAGTGTTTAAATTTTGAAATGTATGCTTTAAATAATTATTTTTATGAAATGTACGAATTGATAAATGTGTTTGGTTTGAGCTCGAAGGACAACGTCTCCCTAGAATGATCCACAAAACATTTTGAGTTGCATACATTTTAACGAAACAAATCTTGAACCAGTTTGTCATTTTTTTAAAAAAAGCCTCAATACACTTTTGAGGGTTTCAGCCATAGGAAATAATTCTTTTCTTTTTTTAAGCCAAGATTCACAAGAATAGGTAGGACTCTGCTGAATGCCAGCAATGAGCCAACTTTGGGGAAGAATTTGGGGTGGGGGGGGAGAGACTTTATTTATTTACTTTATTTATTTGAAGCATTTGTTTTATCCCTATCCTTATTGTCTTCCTAAATTTAAGTATATCTTTATTGAAAGAAATTTGATGAGAGGTTACTAGTATGGTATGGTCTCTCTCTTTCTCTCTTTAAATGCACAGTAAGCAGTGCTGAGCATCAAATACTCAGCATGCCAACTAACTAAGGTATTCTTTTTGGTTTTTTGGATGCATTCATAATCAAAAATTCAATTAAAGCCAACATTGAAGCAACCAACCAATCAAACCAAAGCACTTTAGCACAATTGAAAATCTTCAGGGAAAAAGCTTGCAAAGGTTAGGTATGCATGTACAAAGCAATAGCACTTAGACTTAAATACTGCTTCACAGTGCTCTACAGCCCTCTCTAAGTGATTTACAGAGTCAGCATATTGCCCCCAACAATCTGAGTCCTAATTTTACCCACCTCAGAAGGAGGGAAGGCTGAGTCAACCTTGAGTGGTCAGGATCAAACTCCTGGCAGTGAGCAGTGAGTTAGCCTGCAATACTACATTCTAACCACTGCATCACCACAGCTCTTCTACACTCATAACAGCTTTTCTACATTTTTTATGTGCTCTTTCATCCTGGTGAATTTAGAATTTTCAGAGTGCTTTTGAATACTCATTGCATTTAAACATATCATAAATCTCAAAATCGGCAGGACCCAGGAGCATGCACAAAGGGCACATAACCTCTGTCTTCCCCCTGCTCAGCAGGCTAAGTTTGGACATGCATCATGGGATTAAGGGAGGTGATGTGCTTGTTTGTTTCTCTTCCCTCCTTGTGTTGGTAAGCAGTTGGCTGTTGACATTCTCTATGGTAGCCAACTCTCTTTTGGGAGATAAATGTAAGTTAATCCAGTCTGGATGCTATGCCTGTTTTGTGTAATATTCTGCTGAAAAAAAAAAGCACAGACTTGCAAACATTTGACTTTCATTGCAGTATACAAACTCTATAAACAACAGATAACATAAATAAAAAAATTGGGTTGAAAGGAAGGCTTATTTCAATTTGTTTATGCTCAATATGTTTTATACAGATAAAATTTGACTTAAGTATTGCCAATCAGCCTTTCTCTGATCTAGTTCAGTTTTACTTAGAAGTCTGTTTAAAAAAATCTACATCGGGCTAAACATTTAAATCATGCAAAAGTGCGTTTATTTTCACTGACAACTTTCTGTAATATCAACATTTTTATACACTCATTTTTCTGATACAGTACATAGAATTTTTTTTTTTGGCTAGGAACTAACAAAAATATTGAGAAATGTTATCTGAATACCATAATATTCTGGTCTGAATCTAAATTAAGTCGGTATGTTAAAAAAATCTATATCACTAGTATATAGATTGACTTCTTTTACTAATTGTAACATATTAGTACAGATGAGATCCATAGCTGCTTTTTCTCAGACTACTTTGATAGAAGTTTGAGAAAGCGTTACTACATGTGATTATATGAGAAAAAAAAATACTCTCCTTAGTTAAAGTGTGAGTCCATTTTGTAAAATTGCCTTTGTAATTAGGATCCTTTTCTGGTTGTTATTGTTTAATAGTTTCTCCTCCCCCATTTATGAATACGTTTGGTAAGTAAATTGTGGGTTGATGAATATTCAACACTTTTCAGGGTGAATATAGCAAAACCCTTGGTGTTTTTACCCAGCAGGTTCACAGTCAAGAATAAAGTTCCCAGGCAATAACAAACAACCGACAAATAATATGCTTAGTTTCGGATTGTGGTGCAAGAAGGGAGAAAGTAGCTCTGGGGTGAAGCTGGGAGACAGGGTCTGTGGATCAGCTTCAAAGGAAGCTCTTCAAGAAGGGACCAGAAAAGATGCCTGTAGCAAAACTGCAAAGAAATTTTTTTTCTAAAAACAAAAATGTGCATTGGGAGAAATAAAAAAACTGGATTAAAAAAAAAACCTACAGTACTTTGGAGAAGCTGTCAAATAACGATAGCAATACCAGTGACGATGCTTATTACAATTTTTGCTTTTTATTTGACCACAACAGGGATGGCAGATTGCAGGAAGCAGATCAAATTCTTGCTATTAATGGGCAAGCCCTTGATCAGACCATAACACATCAACAGGCTATCGGCATCCTACAGAAAGCCAAAGATAGTGTCCAGCTAGTTGTGGCAAGGGGTTCTTTGCCTCAGCTCATCAGCCCTGTAATTTCTCGATCTCCGTCAGCTGCTAGTACAATTTCAGCCAATTCAAATCCCGTGAGTAGACACTGAAAACAAGTTTGTCTTTTTTTTTCTCGTGGCTTAGGTTGGTGCAGGTCTCTGCAACATGTTGCTGAATGTTAGCCATTGTGTAAAGTTGCAATTCCATAGAAAGCTTCTTACACTCACAGTTCTGTTTTCAGTGTATAGAAAAGAGTGCAGGAAATAGTTCAAACAGTTTTAATGTACACTATAACTTATGCTTCAGCTACCAAAAATAAATCCAATTTGGTGGTGATGCACACGAGACTGTATCATGTACATAAGGCGTTCTGTATTGTATAAAATGTCTCTCCATCAGTTCTTAGCACATTATAAACCTGTGGACTTAATTGCCACAAAACGTACTAATGGCTTTAAAAGCAAATTGGGTGACAGGGCTATTAGTCTCGCGTACTCATTGGTTCCTCTAGTCCAGTGGTGGCGAACCTGTGGCACGCGTGCCAGAGCCGGCACTCGGAGCCCTCTCTGTGGGCACACAGAGAGGTGTCGCTCCAGCCTCGCCTCCCTCCATGACCCCCTCCTCACCAGCAGCCCCCCTGGAGGAGAGTCGCCCCCGAGCGTGGCCCACACGGAGCAGGGCAGTCAAGGACATGGCAGCCAGGCAGTGTAGACAAGACGCTGCCTTCATGCCCCATCCCGCACAGTTGATGCTGTGGGGTGCGGGCAGAGGGCGTGGTCGCCATGGCGCTGCTGGTCTGCCTGGGCAATCTGCGGTGGGCCCTGGAGGCGGTGAGTGGCCCTGCGGGCAGGTGGGGGCGGGGCAGGGGGTGGGGCAGGGGGTGGGGCGGGGCCAGTTTTTGGGCACTCGGTCTCTAAAAGGTTCACCATCTCTGCTCTAGTCAAACCAGAGCTTACCTCCGAAACACATTTTCAGGGGAACAATGATGGGAAAATGATATGCTTTTATCTCCTACCTGTGAGCATCTGAGAGGCATCTGGTTGGCCATTGTGTGAGCAAAATGTTGGATTAAGAGAGTCCTTGGCTTAAGTCCGCATGGCTGTTTTTAATATACTTACGTCCTAAATGATAAGCAGTGTCCTTTGATGAAAGCCAGATAATAAGGAAGAGCCTTCATGATGCAGATTGAGGAGGGGTGAGGGAAGACAAAAACAGTGATGAGCGCCTCAGTCTGATGCCCATTGAGACCCTACCTGTGTATCAGATTTACCATTTTATGCGTAGTATGGAATCACCACACTTTATATGAGTTGAGTAGAAATGGGTTGCACTCAGTCAGTGCACCTGAATGAATGAATACCTGGGGAAAGCAAGCATAAGGTTTTTATCTTTCATGCCCAAAATAATTTATTCACTAAGGTGTTAAACACTGTAATTTGCCAGTAAAACCACTCAAAATATAGAACACAAAAAGGTCCTTTTGATGATTCACGAACATTGTTTGGAATAGCTATATAAAAGAGAATACTGTATATGGGGAAAATATAAACCTGATGGAATAGCTTTAGAGGTTGCTTTAAAAACTGAAACTAATGGTAAGATTTGTCTTAAAGGTACATTGGCAGCATGTGGAGACCATTGAGTTGGTGAACGATGGATCCGGTCTGGGATTTGGAATAGTAGGAGGAAAATCAACTGGGGTGATAGTTAAAACCATCCTTCCAGGCGGAGTAGCTGATCGGGTACACAATATATTCTTCTTTAATAGAGTTACTGCATGATAAGTACTCATTACCATTTAATAAATACCTTTATTTCCTTGAAATAGAAAGAATGGAATGCTAATATTCAGCGAGGGAAAACATCTTGAATGTTATCTTTTGCCAACAAATGATCCCCATAGCCATGGCTTGAAACCCCAGCCAAATTTATAATGCTAAGCTTTGCTTCTGAACCGCTATCACTAATGAGTATAGTTTTTCTATGGAAATAGGAAGCTGGTTTTGTCTGAGAATGAGAACCACAGAAAAGCAGGTAGTGGAGTTCCTTTATGGAGAACTTCTTTTATCCCTGTATTTGAGATATTTTTGAACACAGTCTTTACTCTGGGTGAGGCAGATGTGACAGCAGAGCTTAAACTACACACATTTGCCCTTCACACATGGAAAACAGTCCCCTTTTCTTCCAGCCTTGCCATCCCCACCTTGTTTTTTTCTTCCTCTGTGATTCTGTTTAAAGGAGATATATATATGAGAATAATATAGATGTGGATAAGCAGATAGGAGATAAATCCATTTTCTAAATGGGGATGTTTACAAGCAATTTTAGACAGTAATTTTTGATTTAATAATTAGGTTGCCATGCTGGGGGTGTCCTACCCTTGCCCTTCCCTTTTTTGGCTATGGTTTCTGGCCAGAGTGTTTATGCATATACACATGAGTTGCGTGAACAGATTTATTGACAAGGGATGGAATTGATTTGGTTGGTTTCAGGTAAATTTGATAATCCTAGGCTGTTAAGGTGGGAATGAGGGATTTTGTACAGGGTATTTTTATGTTTTCAGTATTTTTCTGTCCATTCTTCATTTTGGGGGGGAAACTATGCTAAATTTAGGTGTGTCTTTTGAGTAGGTATGATGCATAACTTTTGAACATAAGCAATGCTAAACATATTAGTTAGAACCATAAAACATTTTGACACATTTATTGATGTAAAATACATTTTTATCAGGGGTCACATAAACAGCATATGATAAAAGGTTAAAGTAACGCTGTCTATTAAAGCAGTAGGAAAAGCAAAACAAAAAACAAAACTCCAAAACTAAAATAGGCTATAGGTAAAACTCTTGCATTTTTCTAAGACACCTCTGTGTGTAGTTTTTTTAAACAATTGAATGTTTGCTCGTCTAGCATGGTAGATTGTGCAGTGGAGACCATATTTTGAAAATTGGTGATACAGACTTGACCGGAATCAGCGGTGAGCAGGTGGCACAAGTCCTGAGGCAGTGTGGAAACCGAGTCAAGTTGGTGATAGCCAGAGGTCTAATTGAGGAGACCACTCCATCAACAGCAGCCCCTTGTACACCAGTGCAAACGTGTATGATGGAGAACAAGGTAATAACAACATGTAACTGATGTTAAAGAAATAGGACTGACAGTAGACAGAGGTTCATAACATTTATTCATAGTCTTCCTGCCTGCCTGCCCATCATTGCTGACCTGCTAATTTCAATGTGCCACTTGAATAGCGCTCTAATAGCAGCTTAACTGTGTCATAGCATTTTCCCTTTGCTCTGCCGCAGCCCTTTGGGTTCATCTGGATTATTATTCTTCCACTTTCTTCCTCCTCCCTAGCATCCACCGCTGGGCACCTCTCTGTGCCAGCCGGTGCCCGGCTGTAGCTCTTCACCTAAGTCAGTTGCCACAACTTGCTAGTTAGGTGGCAGCTACACAGCTGCCCTCTTTATTTCATAGTGTTCTTCGTTTGGGCTGGTGTATTATTTTCTTTGCTTGTGTTCTGCTGCTGCCTGAAAAGGAATCTCGTTGCAAGTAACCTTGTTTACCAAAAACCTCCTGTGCTCTTTATTATTTATTTGATCACATTTTTATAGCCCCCCCCCATCTCACCCAGTGACTCTTCCCTTCCAACATTTTGAAAATATGCCAAGGATGAATGTGTGGCTGAAGGGAGTTTGGCATTGATTTTAATGGGCCTGCTTTCAAGTCCAAGCTATGCCTTGGACTAACTCCACACTCAAGGAGCAGATTCTGAAAACACGTGGTTTTTCTGGATTCCCCGAGCAAGGGCAATGTTATTTTTCCATTTCAATAGTGGTCTAGAGTTGGATCCTTACTGGCTAAACGGATGTACAAAATAAAAGCTAAAGTAGGGAGTTGCTGTGTGAAAACACAGATCAGGAGGTGCAAGTGCCAACATATTTCTGTATCAACTGAAGCAAGTTTTAGTGTCTTAAGAATGTAAACACAGTTCAGCAGGAAACTTCAGCTAACTGGATTATATTCAGCAGAATGAAGTGCTTGAAAGAGTGACAGCGAAGTAAAAGAGATAAGGTAAAAATTATACTTCTGCAGAAATATGTGTTCATGTCTTTCTGTCAGAAGCATAATTTATACCCCTTTATTTTATTTTACAACCTTTTCACTGCAGAGTTCAGGAAGAATGGATTTGAATAATTGAATCATTCCTTCCAATTAACTATGTCCTTTCTGGAAACTAGTTTGAATATATGCGTTTCTTTCCCGAATTGCTGTATTAGTAGATAAAAGTGAAATGTAATATTTTACTGTCTTTTCATGGGATGCATTCATTTGGCAATTACCCATTTTAAGATAATTTTCCATTTCTTTAAATTTTGATCTTTACTTTGTTTTACAATTTTCTAGAAATGATTTCTGTGAAACTCAAGCATAACGTCTCCCCAAACCTCAAAAATCACAAAACCCTGGATTTCCAAACTTGATACAGAGTCACACAGAAAAACACCTTAAGAAAAATCCCCTGAGGATCTCTTATCATAACAAATAATGTTAACTCTATTAAAGGTTCACTAATTATATTGGAGTGTATGAAACCAACATCTGAGTCACATTCTGGCAAGAAGTACTGTGTGTTATGTTTAGAATTAAGTGCTAAAATATTAGGATGAGAAATAGAATAAGTTATTTTTGTTCCCCGTAAGAACTTCTTCCATGGAGAATAAATACATGTCTTTTTCTTTAAGAAATTGGAAGATACATCAATTGAAAATGTTGAAGATGGGAACACATTTGATGTGGAGCTTGCAAAAAATTCTCAAGGGTTAGGAATAACAATTGCTGGTTACATTGGGGATAAAACATCAGGTATGGTTAGAATTAATTCTGCTTGAAAAATTAACTATTTTTTTTCTAACACCAAAGTCCATTTGCTTTTGGTTGAGTCAGTCCAGATGTTTAAAAGTACCACACACAATATGTAAAGTAATCACTTTGCAAGAAAAATGTTATATATGGATTTCATTTCAAAATATATTTTATTTTACAATAGATTTATAGTCTGGAATAGTTTGAAATAATTAAAGGCATTCATTGAATGCAACATATTTTCTTTCATTGGATTCAGAACTTGATGTTAGAATTGTTTAAATGTGCTTCATTTGGAAGTCAAACTTCTACTTTAATTAATAGTCTTAGGCTTATTATATTTACAGCATAGTCATGTGCGCTATAATTAAAACAAAGATACATGCATCAGTTTAAAATCTAGCAGCAGTTGACTTATATATAAACCTGTATGCTAAAATATAATTTTATCTCTTAGAGTAAATATATTGGGTTAGAGCAGAGGTGGGGAACTATGGCCTCTTTATGACTTGTGGACTTCAACTTCAAGAATTCCTCAGCAATTCTATGTGGCTCAGGAATTCTGGGAGTTGAAGTCCACAAGTCATAAAAGAACCATAGTTCCCCATCTTTGGGTTAGAGCAGACATGTCAAACTCGTGACGTCACGTGACGTTGCGTGACGTATCGGAGGTTTTTTCTCATTGCCAGCAATGGGGTGAGCACGGTTTGCTGGTGACACATCCGGCCTGTGGGCCGGCAGTTTGACACCCCTGGGTTAGAGCAAGATAACTTCAATAATACTATGTTGTAATATTTCTGCTTAAGTACTTAGAAGTCATAAAGACTATTGTAGTCAGATCTTGATATGCTGTGTTTAAGTTTATGGATTCAAGTCATAACAATTTTACACATACATGACTCAGACATACCTTTAATTACTTCAATTTTACTTTTAAATCACAGAACCTTCTGGTATTTTTGTAAAAAGCATCACAAAAGACAGTGCAGTTGAGCATGATGGTAGAATCCATATTGGAGATCAAATTATTGCTGTAAGTAACTTTGGAGGAATTCTGTTATCCCTTTTTTCCTTCTATTATTTACACTTTATTCTTGATGGATTGAAAGCAAACAACTGGTGAGGACTGTCCCAGAGTTCTTAAAAGATCCCACAACTGAAATCTCTAAGTGAAATTACTTAGTCTGAATTCTATACAGGTAGATCACAAACTGTGAAACATAATGCCTAACTCTTTAAAAATTATTTCAGGAAAATTAGAGACTGCTTAGCTTAAAATGTTACAGGTACCATATTAATAATAGGTAAAATATGGAAAATATTAAAATAAAATTACTAAGGTTATAAAACAGAGGTGGGCATTTTTTTTACAACCAAAGCACTTTGTTTTATATAGTTATGTATTTTGATTCTGAGGGTTAGTAGTAATTAGACTGTCATAAAGAAAAGGCCATTTCTAACTCTATGTTTCGGCCACAAAATTTTTATGAGATCCTGGATGAGAGAAAAATGTGGAGGATTCTCTCAAAGAGGTTTTTGAGAAAATGTAATAGTCATGGGGTTATGTAAGGACCTACCTCATGTAAGCCACCCAAGAAAGCAGAACTTTTGAAGCAGGCATTGTCTCAAAAGGAACTTTTATTAGGGGCTAGTAATAGCAGGCGAGGTCTGAGGAAAAACCCCGCGTAAGCAGTATATTAAAAGCAATATTCAATACTCCTCCCTCCAGGGTCCCAGTGTTCATTTGAATTCCAGCCAATCCACAGATGGCATAATGTTTGGGAACTGGCTTCTTAGGTGCCCGCCCTTCAAGGTCTCTCCCGCTTTCGTTTCCTTCTGGCTCCAAGCGCATACGTAAGGGTGATGCATTCCTTTTCCTGGGGGAAGGGCATGGTAGCAAGACAGTGCAAAGCATCCCCAAGGTATCCCACCTCCCAACAGAATGGCACACCCCAAAGAAGGTTTATAGACTCGGGAATAAGCATAGGGAAATAATATATTTCTTTGGGGACCTGACAGATCAGGAGAGATGTTCTTCTTTGACTTGGTTACTGATGAAAGCAGAGATAGGATCAATGATCTGCTTTCCACAGTTGAGGAACATAAATAATGATTTACCTGAAGGTTCTATGTTGATAGCATGGCTTGTAAACTGAATCTTAAATCATTTTATGGATGAACAGCAAAAATAACAGTAGACTAGTTAAACTTTTCTGCCCAATTCCCATCAGCCTACATAGGTATTCCTCTATTTAGAATCACACGTTTAACTTTTGTAATAAGTCAGTTACAAGTGGTGCTTAAACCTAACAATCATCATATCTTTCCCACATTTACATGATTAAAGTTCAACTCACTTAACTGCCTTGCTTAACACGGAAATTCTGGTCCCCGTTGTGGTCGTCAGTTGGGGACTACCGGTATAGAGAACAGATTTTTTTTAATTTTTGAATGCATTATTTTAAGTTTACTGAAACTGAATTTTATAAAGCTCCTTCATACAGTATTCAGACATTCTCTTCAGAATCTGTGCTGTCTACTTTTAGATAGGATTCTTATATTCAAGATAACAACAAACCCCAAATCAAATTACAGCAAGACATTTTGCAAATGTGATTTGCCTCATTTGGAATAAAACAGTTTTTCCAGTCTCGACAGATCTATGGTGACTAGTCAGAAATGGACATATGTTTAATCCATAGGTGGATGGAACCAATCTTCAAGGTTTTACCAACCAGCAAGCAGTGGAAGTTTTGCGACATACTGGCCAAATAGTCTGTCTGACTTTGGTCCGAAGAGGAGGCCTGAAACAGGAAAACCACGCTCAGTCCCATAATGACTTCAGTGATGCTGTTGAAAAGGATTCAGTTTTCCAAACAATGGATATTGGCACAAATACAGGCAATTAAAATTATCTTTGCTTCACATTTCTTGAATTTTATTTTCTGTTCTCCAGAGGTTAAATCAAAGTGGCTTAAATTCGTCCTCTCAATCCACTTTTCAGACTCAGTTGGGGAATGAAAAAGCATACTCCGAAGGACGAATAAAAGAGTCTTGTGGATTTTTCTTTCATGAATAACAGATAAAATAATCTTCAAATAATATTGTTTCCATGATTTATGTTTTATGGTAGAACTAAAAAAAAATTAAAATACAAAAAAACAAAACAAAAATAACAGTGAACGAAGGAATTTAAGTCTTAGAGATTTACTTCCATGGTGCTCATTATTTCTCTCTATTTTGACCCCTAAAATCTGTGGTTCAACTTTTCCAATTCAGGCCTCTGTAGAATCACCCATCTATGTGATATCAGTTAGATTTTCCCCATTTGACTTGGCCATGTTTTCCTCCTTTCGGATAATATAGAAGATTGTGGCGTTTTTGCTGTTGCCAATTTTTATTTTATGTTTAGCGTTTTAACTGTTTGCTTACACACATCCACGCTAACCTAGTTTTTATTTATTTATATTTACTCATTTGTTAACATCCCACCTTTATTATTGATACAAATAACCTAAGGCAGCAAACATATCCAACATATCTTCCTCCTCCTATTTTTCCCGACAATAACAACCACTTTGTGAGGTAGGTTGGCCCAAAGTCACCCTACTGGCTTTCATGGCTAAGGTAGGATTTGAACTCTCACAGAGAACTTTGCTTTCTAGCATGGAGCCTTAACTGCTGGACCAAATTTAATTTAATCTGGTAAGAAACTAGGAGTCTTTAACAGTGGTGAAACAGGAAAAGGGGTTTAACTGTATTATCACAGAAAATGGGGCTTCTCAGAATATTCTTTTTTTTCCTCATAGAAAGCTGCAAAAGGGAGCAGGATTCTCCATTAATGTCATGCAGCCCCAGTGAGGTTCATTTTGAAGAAGATACTAATATACAACAAACAGGTTATAAATAATATTTTTTTCTGCTTCATAAATATGCTCGGCCTTCCTAGTTTTTGTCTTTCCTTGCCTGGCAGAGTTGCTTCTGGCTTTTGAAAATGTATATTTGAAATTCTTCATCTTGGAAGAATAATGTAATGATGCACCTCTGTTTAGTGGCATTTCTGCACATTGTCCACAGACCTGTAGCTAAATAAACACAAATAATTATTTTTATAGCCTTTCCTTTGAATTTTTTAACCTCTAAGTATCTTTTCCATACGTTTATCAAAACCTGTGGATAAGATATTGAGAAATTAAAAGATTCAAAGAAAAGGCTATAAAATAGTTATTTGTGTTTGGCTTAGCTAAACTCTGTGGACAATGTACATAAATGTACACGATGTTGATTTCTTGTATGCATGCAGCTTCATATACTATATCAAGTGTTATAATTATGACACTTAATTTTCAACATAAAATGGCAGCAGCTAAAAAGAGTACTTATTAATGATGATATTAAAAGTAATGATCATTAGATGACAAAACATACTGCTGAAGATATTTCATGGTTGTTTATTTACAATGAAAAGCCTTAAGGATAATATTTGGGCAAACACAGTTTTAATTTACTAGGAAATATAGTGTAGCATAAAGCAGAATTCATAACTGAAGTTAGCCATATACTGTATACACACAATTCTTATACCTGTGGTTTATCGCATTTGTTTATATCTTATTTTTAAATAAGTATAGTTTGTGATATGCATAGCTGATTGTAGCTTATCAAGCCATGCTAAAGAGATACTATTCAAATTCTGTGAGTCTCATGTTTCCACCTACTTCGGATTTTTAAGCATATGAGTGTTTTGAGGATATCATAAGCACTTGCTGGGTCACCATACATATCTGACAAGCTCCAGTTATTGTAGTAAGAGATAAACCGGAACAGATTTAAAATGGTAAATTATTACACTCACAATATGTTTCTTTCTCAAATTTTTAAATAAATGTACAAATGATTCCAGAAAATGTGTTCTTCCACTGCCCTCTAGAGACCATGTTTCAGTAGGAGCCTTTGAAAAAGAGGTCATAGTTTCAAAGCAAAAACAAAAACTTAACTATAGAGAACATTTCTTGAGTTCTTAAATATTAAACAATATATTTATTTGTATATGTAAACTTTGAGATATAAGCAAATTGATATCAAAAGCACTACAATGCTAAATGTTCCCATCTGAGAATAAGTTTCTTTTAACTTGATGTGATTTAACCTCTGAATAAATGTGAAAGGAATATTGTATACTGAAAATTTTTTGCAATTGATTTTAATAAATCTGAATACATCATATTATTTACTTGGAGAGAACTATGAAATGATAGCTGTAGTTTTACAAGTTAAAAAAAAAAGACCTTCAATTATTTTTCAGAATTGGGAAACAACCACTCATAAGCTTAGCAGTGCTTTCTGCATTATCTTTTGAATTTTAGTTCTTATTTTTATTGTTAATATTTCATTCACGAAAACCTGTTTTGCTTACATTTGTAGAGTGTAGGGGTTTAAGACAGTGATGATGAATAAACAGCACCAGCATTTCAGAGAACAGTTGTGCCAAGGAAAGGCAGAACGTGCCTGCGATTTCTGCATTCACAGAAAGGAGAAGGTGCAGCAGAGTGTAGCCAGACAGAGATCCAGTTATTCAGGAAGCTAGACTAGGACAATTAGAATTCTTTGGAAGAGGGATAAAAGGAAGCTCTTGAGTAATGCAAGCCTAAATTGAATAGTTTGAGTCTTACGCTGTTTTAATTTCGAATATACTGGACAATGCTCACAGTTTATTAAGGTATATGTGATAAAAGATTGTCTAGAAAAATCTGTTTAAAAATGGAACTGTTCTTTTTGTGACTTAACCCAAGTGAATTCATCTAGCTTTAAAAGGATTTTAAAAACCCAAACGTAGGTTGTAACTCCTTTTTTTTCCCTTTTCCATTTTTAGATGCTTAAAATGCTATGTATTGAAAAGTATTTTCTTTCTCATTTTAAATAAATCAGATGCCCATTTACAAATTCTAATGCAATTCATTTTCTACCTAAAGATAAGAATGCCATAGTTTTGCTTAGGATAATTGTCACATCTTGCAGACATTCAGCTAACATCCTTAGAAGAAGAAGTGTTGCTGAACAAATGGCAGAAGATTTTGGGGAAAAATTATGAAGTTGTGGTAGGTGGACTCACTTGCTTGCTGTTAAAAAAAAGAAACGCTTTATCTCTGTTCTTCCTTTGGAGGGGCGTTGTTTTTTAAAGTCTAAAAATGCTGTAAAACAAAACTTTTATATAATCTTAGGAAGTCAGAAAATGAATCCTAAATTTGATCAAATAGTTTATCAAATATTGCTTCCTTGGGAGTTTTCACTAATTTAATCAGTAAGTATTGACAGCTTTTTTTTTGCATTTGTTTAGTAACTTTTGGAGTCTATTATATATTTTGATTCTCCTTGTTGTCAACAGTGCATAGTTTCATTTCTTGGGGTAGCATTTTTTCTTGATGACATCTCTCAAATGTGGGTAGAGCTACAGTTGAGTTCTGAAATCTACATTTGGAAAGCAAAACAATGTAGCTTGTTAGGAAATCTACCCACTTTCAACATACAACATTTAGTGTAATCCTTAGGAAGATTTCTTACACATAGCTGATATTCGGAATAAAAGACCTCTCGTTTGATCTCACACTCATCTACCAGAAATAAATGCCACTAATTTTAATGTTGGCCTGCTTTCAGATTCAGGTAAGTAATACAAAAATTAACAATTAGGGCCTATATTTTCTCGTATTGCTGCTATTGACCCCTAGTGTCATTGCTGGATGATCTTGATTTTTTTAAAGAAAACCTTTTGCCCCACTTTTACTGGCATTTAAACATATTGTTTGCATTTTCTCTTTTGTATCTGGTTTGTTTTTCTTCCCTCTTACGATTTATGATAATAATTGCTGATCTTCTATTTTCATTATTTGTTTTTAAATTGATTGCGAACTGACTCTTTTATTCCTTTAAAGTGAGGTTTATGTGAAGCATCTTGGTAACCCTTTAGTGTATAGGCCTTAAAATGTGTTTTTATGCAATAAAAGCTGTTTTCCTAGCTAACACTTTACTTCTCATTGAGAATCTAGCCAGCCTTCTTTTAGCACATTTTAGAACGTATAAGCAACTACTTTTGTGTGCAATAGTCCAAGATGTAGCAAGGATGTGGAACTTTTGAATAGAATTCTGCAGCAGAGTCATAAATGCAGTTCCTATTCTTTGACTGTTCCCCACCTGGGGATTAGTAAACCATAGAGAATTATGTTGCCAGGTGCATGTCCTGTTAACGTTTGACTTGTTTCAGAGGCAACGAGCATTGTCAGATATAGAATCCAGTTCTTTTTCTTCAAATTGGAAACATTGCTGTTTCCGAATACTGTATTTGCTAACTATTGTTCCACGGTGGTCACAAAAGCTGGTGTAATGAGAAGTGTGGAGCCTTTGATAGTTTCATTTGTTCCATTTATTTGTGACTCTCTGGCTACCTTTCATCTCTGGGACAGCTGTAGCTACCAGCATCTGTTACCCTTTGCAAATGGGAAAAAGGATGTTACAGCTGGATGCTCCTTTTCAGCTCACATTGTCATTCCATCTTGTTTTGATGTAAGAAATCAATGAACATGGATGTTGTTTGAAAGAAATGAGCCTGTAGCTTAAGAAGTAGAGCACCTGTAGCAAAACAGCTTTTAAATTTACTGGTCCTTTGTATAGGATCTCGGTGCAATTTTCTAAGCAACTGGTTTATTGGTTACGAGGCTTCTTATTTTTCTTCTTTCTAGGTGGCGGATGTGAACAAATTTAATGAAAGCAGCGGACTGGGGATTAGCTTAGAAGCTACAGTGGGACATCATTTTATTCGGTCTGTTTTGCCTGAAGGGCCAGTTGGACGTTGTGGCAAATTGTACAGTGGAGATGAATTGCTAGAAGTACGAATTAATCTTTCTTATACCTCTGCTCTCTTAAAAGATATTCTGAGGGATTTTTTCACTTTAATATTTTCTTAGCATGGAGTCCAGTCCAGTCCTTGACTTACAGCAATAATTCGGAGCAGAATTTCCACTGATAAGCGAGACAGTTAGTGAGTTGCGGCCAATGTTGGTGTGGCTTTTAAGTGAACCAGTACAGTTGTTAAGTGAATCATGCGGTTGTTAAGCGAATCCGGCTTTCTGCATTGACTCTACTTGTCGGAAGGCAGCTGGGGTCGTTGCAAATGGTGATCACATGACCCCAGGACCTGCAACTATCATAATTACATGCCGATTGCCAACTCCCAAATTTTGATCATGTGACCTTGGGGCTGCTGCAACAGTTGTAAGTGCAAGGACCAGCCCTAAATCAGTTTTTTCAGGGCCAGTGAAACATTGAATGGTCACTAAAAAAATTGTTGTAGGACAAAGACTACCTATATTCATATATTTGTGAAAAAAATAGATAGCCTGTATAAATTTACGATATGTTAGCATGTTCTAAGGTAGTGATTATATAAATACTCACTTTTAAAATCATTTTCTAAATGACTGCCAAAGTTATACTTATGGCCACAACTGAGCCCAAAGCTTCTGTTGCTAAGCAAGGAGGTTACTCGGCGATTTTTGCCCCATTTTATGACTTTTTTTTTTGCCAAGGCTTTAAAGCGAATCATTGCAGTTGTTGAGTGAATCATGTGGTCATTAAGTGAATCTGGCTTTTTCCCCATTGACTTTGCTTGTCAGAAGCTGTCTAGGAAGGTTCACAAATGGTGATCACGTGATAAATACATGCCAGTTTGCCAAGTGCCCAGATTTTGAGCACGTGACCATGGGGATATCGCAGCCGTCTCAAATGTGAAAACCAGCCCTGGGGTCATTTTATTTTTTCAGCTCTGTTGTAACTTTGAATGTTCACTAAACGGATGGTTGTAAGTCCAGGACTCCCTGTATTATTTCTTCTAACTTTATTGGTCTCTGTGCAGGTAGTCTTCAATTTAACGACGGCAGTTGAGCCCAAAATGGCTGTTGCTAAGTGAAACATTTGTTAAGTGAGTTTTGCCCCATTTTACAACTTTTCTTGCCACAGTTGTTAAGCGAATCACAGCAGTTGGTGAGTTAGTAACACGGTTGTTAAGTGAAACTGGTTTCCCCCATTTGGTTTTGATTGTCAGAAGTTTGCAAAAAGTGATTGGGGACCGCCTGTAATGTGGAGAAACCAGGTGGTATCTTTTTTTAATATGATAACTTTAGTTAATCCTATGTCCAGTGTGAAAATATATGTATTTCTTTCTCACTCTCTGTCTTTTCCTTATTTCTATAAATGTCCTTATTTTCATTGACAGGTAAATGGAGAATCTTTGCTTGGAGAGAATCACAAGGATGTTGTCAATATTCTAAAAGAGCTTCCGATCAATGTAAGAATGGTCTGTTGTCGTGCAGTTCCACCTGTGATTGAGACAGCATTGGATGAGACCCACATGTTAGAGCAGGTAATTCAACATAAAGATTCATACACTGAAGGAGAAACTTGACAGACCCCCATTCTTCCTTGCAGTAGAGAATTCAAAGAAAAGATTTGAACTACTACTGAAGTGGCTCCATTACTGTTAACCTTCATTTATTAATTTAGTTTTATCTGTTTTATTGTTTTTTTAAATGCTTTAATGATTTTAGATATTTATTGGTTTACTTTTGTTGTATGCCACCCAGAATCTCTTATTTGTGAGACTGGTGGCTATATAAATTAAACAAATAAATAAATATGGAGTAAGGTAATAAGATTTTTTTTCCCCAGTTGAGACAATTTGATCAGATGGCTAGAACTGGGTTGAGGAAATCTAATTTAAAAGCCTTTTTTAAATTTTTCATGTAGTTTTGGTCAAGTTATTATGGTCATATATGTTTAGACATCTCTACATAAAGTTTACACTCTTAGATGATAGAGCTTGTGGAGATTATTAAATCAACCTCTTTAAGGAAAAAAACTTCACAATTACAATTGATTGGAAATCTGCTATAGACCTTTTGCATGAAACATAAAACATAAAAATGTACTTACGATTTATGGTGTTTTTGATGATTAGAAAAAACCAAATATAGAGAAAGCTAAGGTTTTTATTTGTAATCATGGAGTAAGAGAATTTTGTAAATGTGCTTATATTTGCTGCAAAGGAAATTGGAAGCTTCTCTCTTTTTTTGCTTTTTCCTTTCTTTCTACATTTTTCCTTCCTTCCTTCCTACCTTCCTTCCTACCTTCCTACCTTCCTTCCTTCCTTCCTTCCTTCCTTCCTTCCTTCCTTCCTTCCTACCTACCTACCTACCTACATTACAGTTGTTAAGTGAATCGTAGTCATTAACGCGAATCTAGCTTCGCTTAAAAAAATGAAACTAGCTTGTGTTTTTATGTGTTTTGTAAAACTTTAATTAAAAATTCATTTAAAAAATAGATAAGCTTTAGACTCTTTAAATAGCAGTTCCCATTTATTCCAGTTTCATTGACAATCCGTATTTAAATTTTTCTTAGCTTTATTTTAAAAAGTAACCATATTTAACTTTCCAGTCTCATATAGACCTTGGTGGACTCCTTTGTGCTTCAGAGACAGAGGATGCTAAGCTGGAAATAGCTGACCTAAGTCAGAATACTGAAGAGGCACAAGGATCTCCCCTGGCAATGTGGGAGGCAGAAATACAACAAATTGAGCTGGAGAAAGGGAGCAGAGGTCTTGGCTTTAGCATATTGGATTATCAGGTAATTTCTGAATTCCCTAATATAAGAATGTACTTTATGCATTGAATCCAATAACTCCTTAAAAATGAAACGTTCCAGTAGAATTACATCATTAAATAAACTTGTCAAACTTATTTTATACGTTTCAAAAACTTCATACTTTTGCAAGGTACTCATCTTCAATTGGGGATAGTTTCTGATTTCTTAGATGAGAAAAGGTGTGGTATGACTACGAAGTCACCTTTCATTAATGCTCTATTATATTTCTCAGTCTTTCTCTTTAAGGAGAAACTGAAATTTGAAGAGAAATGATCTTACAGTGATACTTATTCCATGGATCCGATAATAACACAAACAAACACATAAAATATTAATATTGGGACTGTGCTGGGCATTATCACAAAGCAAGATGCATTATTACTGCAATTATTATAATGAAAGCAATAGAAGTAATAGTATTTATTAGTAGGTACTTTTGTAGTTTGTTTTTTTAAAAAAGACATGTCTAACAGTGCAATACTGCCAGGTTTTCAACTCTTTTTTGCACTAATTTGAGGAGATTTTAAATGTGGAGCAGATTCTGAAATGTGTTTGCTAATGCCATCTTTATGCAAATAATTTATTTATATTCTAGAAGTTGATTTTAATGTTGCTTCCTGCAGTCTTTCTGCAAGATTACATAATGTATAATTAGGTTTTAATTTTTCATAAGTAGTGGCTTGACAACTGAATCTTTCTATAAGCAAGCAGGATCAGGAAAAAACAACAACCATACCATTGTTTGAAATCTCTGTTCAGATCCAATAGATTGGGAATGCTCCAGATCCTATCAGCCAAAGAGAGCTGGCTACCAGGAACTAAAAGAAAAGCTTTTTCTGCTGTAGCCCCTGACTTATGGAATATTCTCCCTCAGAACATTAGAATAACCCCCTACCCTGTTGGCCTTTCACAAAGCTTTAAAAAACCTGGCTATGTACCTGGGCCTGGGGCTCAGAATGTGTGAAGGGCCTTATTACTTGGCTTTTTGCTATTAGTGGATTAATCATCACAGCTGCTGTTTGTACTTATTTATTTTGGTGGATTTTTTGTAGTTTGAATGTTTTTTAAGTTGTTTTAATTATTTTTTTGAATTTTTAAAATGGGTAGGCTGCCCAGAGTTCCTTGGTTGAGTTGGGCGCTGTGGAAATGAATAAATAAATACAAAGTAAATAAAAAATACATGTCAACATTTTTTCCCTTCATGTTCCCCTCTTTTCTCCTTCAATAAGGACCCAGTGGACCCCGCAAATACAGTGATTGTGATCCGCTCTCTTGTTCCTGGGGGCGTTGCTGAGCAAGATGGCAGGCTCCTCCCAGGGGACAGGCTTATGTTTGTCAATGAGACCAGCTTGGAAAATGGTAGTCTGGAAGAAGCTGTGCAGGCCCTGAAAGGAGCACCTCTGGGAATGGTGAGAATAGGAGTCGCCAAGCCATTGCCTGTAAGAATTCTTGCTTTATAATATAGTGGGATTTTGTATTTTGCAAATAAACTCCTGTGGTATTTAATGATGTAGGACTTTCTACATCAGGAATGGGCGAACTGACATTTGTTGTGAGGTAATAAAATTTGTTGTGAGGTAATAAAATGCCGTTTTAGATTTCTACCTGCAAATTGCCCTTTGCAAAATCTCTCATTTTATACAATTGTCATCAAGAGAATAATAAAGCTCTGGGAACTAGCCCACCATCATTTTGTTCTACAAAACTATAAGTTTTTATTGCGTAACTGCAATGAATCTTCAAACTATTTTTGTTTGAAGATTCATTGCAGTTACTCAATAAAAACGTATTCTGAGCCAAAGTAATAAGTTTAGCTTGGGAATCAGTTACTTTCGGCACAGTAATTTCAAACAGAGAGTAGACACTTGGTGCTTCCAGAAACCTAGGGTAAGAATATTTTAAACACCCTAAACTACAATGTTTTGATTTGTTGTACTATAGTATAAACAAAAAAATGGCTATACTTACACTGAAATATTGAATATATTAATTATCTACTGTGTATACTTCAGGAACTTTGGTATCTATATAGTAATATTTTGCAGATTTATTTTACACAATTGCATACATGCAAAAATTGTACGTTACAAAAACCCTCTTCTATGCATAATCTGTAAATTTCCTATCCCTAACTGGCAGTAATGCTTTCACTTATTCCTTGAATCAGCAAGGCAATAAGTTTTGTTGCTGGTTTGAGGGCTGTTTTCTGAAAGAGTTTGACATTCACATCCACCTTTTTCTGGCTGAATCCTGGTTGTTGTGCCATCTTTGCACAGAGGTGTGCAGTGTTTGATAATCTAGGGCTGCACTTTGTAGTGCAGAAGAGTACTGAACAGTACAAAGTAAATGAGTCTCATCACAAATGCAATTGGGACTAAGGTTTGTTGGATGAATTGGGGAGAGGATGTCTTTTTTTGGCTGCTTATTTATTGTTAGTGAAAGCTCAGAAGTATTGTTAAAGTTTGCCCCTATTTTTCATTCAGAAATTGGAAACATTGCCATCATGTTTCAACAGTAGTGGCTTCGGGGGTTCTGAGGATGGCAAAAAAATTATGATTCAGTGGCCACCCAGGGCTTTGGGGTTGCCCATTGAATTGCTGCTTTTGACAGAAGAACCAAAGAAGTGTTCTAACCAAAGGAAGGGAATGTTTTTAATTCTGTGTATAAATCATTTTACATATCAATAGCCTGTTTCTCTGATAATTAAACACAGTCAAAACATTTTTCACAATTATTGCTTGCCAGAGATATTAGTTATTGTAGGCATGATGATTATTTATTTATTTAAAGAATTATGTTATGCAGCCACCTCACTCTAATGACTCTGATCAGTTAACCATATTGTGTGGAAAATGTAAACTAAACTAAGCTGAAATAAAAACCATCTAGTACAATGTGACTGAGGCTGCAAGCAAAATTTTTACCATAAAACTTACCTTAAAACATGCACAATGGAATATATGTTGGGCTCATCTCACGTTCTGGCATCAGTGTTTGAGAGAAAAGCCGGCTCTTCAAGGCCTTCTAGAAGGTTAGGAGAAGGAGACCATTCCAGGCTCAGAGGGGAGGCTATTCCATAGGACAGGCATTGTGATACAGAAAGCACATATCCTGGGTTCAACCACATCATTCAGTTTGATAAAAGAGACCTCTGAGGTCTGGTGGCATGGGCAGAAACTATCAGAAGCAGGTAGATTGATAAGTATCCTGCCTTGTGTCACCCAAAGCTTTATGGGTGATACTTGTTCCTTAAACTATACCTGGACACATGTGTCCTTGCATTCTCAATAAGTGGCCACTTCTGAATGGTCTTCAAGAGCAGTCCCATTTCGAGCCTGTTGCAGTAATCCAGATAAATAATTAAGGCATGAGTGACTGTGATAGTCTCCTGATCTAGGCGGCTCAACTGGTATGATGGATAGACTTGTGCTAAGGCCCTCCTGGTCATGGCTGCCACCTGCTCTTTGAGCAGGACCTGTGAGTCCAAAAGGACCTTCAAATTGCACACCAACCACTGGGGGATTGTTAAGTTATCCAAGTGGTGGGTAGGGCAGAGATGTACAGCATATTAATGATAGTTACTTGTATGGACAAATAACTGCTCCTGAGTTACTCAGAGCTTTCATGAAGGTGCTAAATAAAGGCAGGAAGAAAATGCAGAAAAAGCATGGGTTGGACTTTTATTCTGTACCAACTCTAACTGGAACCAACCTTAGGGGAAGGAGGAAAGCCACTGTGCCCACCCCCTTCATTATCAGCCCAACCTGATTCAGGAGGTATTGAAGGTCTCTATGATCAAGGATCAAGGCCTGGATGGATACATAATCCATATTCTGAGTTTACCAGAGGTCATCAACAACTATGACCAATGCTATCTCAGTTCCATAATCCAACCTCAAACCCAACTGAAAAGGATCTAGGTAATGTACTTTTATTATGATGTCAATAAGGAATATATTTTAGTTGTATTGGAATGAACAATTTCTTAATAAAATCATTCATTTTGAAATTGGTTTCAACATTCATGGCAAGATTGTTGTCTCCCAGTGACGTACTATGAAATTCACAAGCCAGACAGGTAAAAAATTTAAAATAAATGTGATTTTTCAATCTGCTCCAAACATGATTATCACAAGAAGAAGTGCTACTGATTTCAGTGGAACCTACGTGTTGTGTTTAGAAACGAAGTATAATTTAAACTTGGTATGACTGAAAAGGCTTAAATCTAGTTTAATCTTAAATCTAGTTTGTGAGGCTTAACTGCATTGGAAATCAGGCAGTGGAAATATAAGGAGAGAGACAGAATTTATCATCTGGTCTGGGAGAACATGTCAAATATCAGCACATAGGTACATAACCACGTGGTGCTTAAATTCATGATTATTGCCATCTCATTTTTCTTTCTTTTTTTTCAACCCTATAAATCATTTCATGGTTTGACGGCTATAATATGATTTCTAGATATCTTTTTTTTCCTAATCTTTATATTCATTTAAAATTTCTTAGTATTTACTTACATGGCATGTTCTGTTCACTGGCCATCATCCAACTCAAGAGCTTCATTCTTTCTGCAGCTTTCACCAGAAGAGGGCTATGTTTCTGCTAAGGAAGATTCCTTTTTCTACACTGCCCAGTCCTTTGAGGAGGAAGGGCTAGCCGATTCAGCCCTCTTCCATGCTGAGCTGGCTCTGGTTAGTCTATAGTCAGTCTTTTATTCTATGTCTTAATTTTGAACGGTATTTTGTTAAGGAACAATACAGGAACAGTCCTGCTGTTAACATGTTAAGAGGTATTTTAAAAGACTTCTTGCTTGCTTTCCTTGAATCTACATGATGGTTGTTTATTTGGTAATACAAAAAAATATCCACAACTATATCAAAACATTGTATTTATAAGAAGACAAGGCTGTGCCAAAATTAAACCCTCTAAATCAGGGGTAGTCAACCTTGGCTCTTTTATGACTCGTGGACTTCAACTCCCAGATGGCTCAGGAATTCTGGGAGTTGAAGTCCACGAGTCATAAAAGAGCCAAGGTTGACTACCCCTGCTCTAAATATTTAAACATTTTGTTTTTTGTTAAAAAAAAAAATTCCTTGAAGCCTTCAGAATAATGTACAATTAAAAAGAGTAAGAAAATTACAAAAGCAAACCATTATTTTTTTAAATGAGAAACCATGCATATATATAATCCTATAATATAAGGAAATTATGGCTCCAGCCATTTGTTCCAATTACTTCTTAGGACTCTGCAATTTCTCTCAAGGGTTCTTGGAACTTAGAACTCTGTGTAAACGCAGGATAGTATTCAAATGCTGTTGCCCATTTAAACTTGGCAATATCTAAAAACCTCAGGAGGCGACGTGTTTTCTCTTATTCCATATTCTCAGTTTTCTCACATACTTTTTCAGTTCATAAAAAAAACCTTACTTGTTCTTTTCTGGAATTCTGGGAGTTGAAATCCTCAGGTAGTAGAGTTGCCATAGTTACCCACCCATGCTCTAATCTAGTGATATACTGTAGATAGTAGCTGAGATATTGGGCAATCTTCAAAAACCCACAAAAGCTAGAATGATGAATGAACCTTTGACAGATTCTATATATCAGGGGTGTCAAACTGCTGGTCTGCGGGCCGGATGCGTCACCAGGAAACCACGCCCACTCCATTGCTGGCAATGGGGAAAAAGCTCCGATACTTTGCGCGACGTCACGTGATGTCGCGAGTTTGACATGTCTGCTATATATATATGTCAATCCAAATCTAATAGGTAAAATGGCCCAATCCTGGCTGATTTAATAGTAATCTATCTAAATCCAAGTCCCTGCTTTCTCAGAACAGGGAGGAAGCGAGTGTGTGTGTGTGTGTGTGTGCCTGTGCCCGTGTGTGTGTATGTATGTATGTCTTTTCACGGGATTTAGTAAATTGAAAATTACTTGGGATTATACACATCTTTGTGGTGGTATGCAGATGTCACCTTAGTCTTGCTGGGGTCTGGATGCATGCAACTCATTCCTTTTATTGCCTCCTTCTCCCTCCGCTCCTTTTTTTCCCCTTTAGATTACATTTTTCAATTCTGCTGACAGGTTTTTTTTATTTATATGTAATGATTTCCAGTCAGCATTTTTTTTGTGAAATTTAGGATTGCACCTTAAGACCACCTTAAAAGTTTATATAAAGAATTTGAGATTATTACTTCCTCACCAGTGTCACTTCATCTTGTGTAATATTGGCCCCATTTGTGGGATTGAGCTGACCAAATATTTCACCCTTTGATTTTGGAGGTATTATAGTTCATTGTCATAATATGCACATACAGACATGAGTAGCTTTACATAAGATACAAACTACTTTGTTTTAAATTTATTGCAGGAGTTGGAAATATATATATATATATCTTTGTATCGTATCATGACATACTTTCACAGAAAAATATAGGAAGGTTTACATAGACTTCTACAAATAGGCATTCCAATTTGATAGGAAGGCTGAGAGGCACAATTGGCTTAGAAAGGTCAAGATGAATGGGAAATATGGGAAAAATACTCGGTGTTTTCACAATGGTTCTATTCATTAAAATGTTTTTATTGTAGAAACCTTTGAAGGATTCTATCACAAGGTTACTTAGTTTGGGATATGATCCTTGTTTTTTTTTTTGTTAAAGTTCATCTTTTATTGAAGATAGAATTTGATTATTTTTCTGCCTGTCACAAATTCAACATGCATTGGATTTTAGTTTCTGAGTTGAACTGAATTGAATTGTATGCATGGAATTGATACCGAATCCCATGATTTTATTGTTATAATGCTAGGCTTATATGAAAATGTGCTGAGAAGGCAGTAATACTGAGTATAAATTTACAATGTGTGTTAGTTTGTTTATTTGTAATGAGCAATGGTAATATATTTTGGGAATAAATTATAACTTTTTTTAAAAAAAAAAACCCACACACTAAAGCTTATGGAATAATTCACTTAATTATTCAGGCTAAATTATAAAATTAAGCCTATTAGAACAATATAAGTAGCCCTCAACTTGCAACCATTCGTTTAGTGACTGTTCGAAGTTACAACAGCACTGAAAAAAATGATGGGTTTTCACACTTACGTCCGTTGCAGCATCCCCACATTCACGTAATCAACATTTGGATGCTTACATCTGGCATGCATTTATAATTGTTGCAGTGTCCTGTGGTCATGTGATTACCATTTGTAACCTTCCCAGCCCTCTTTTGACAAGCAAAGTCAATGGGGGAAGCCAGGTTCACTTAATAATTGCATGATTCGCATAACATCTGCAGTGATCAACAACTGTGACAAAAAGGTCATAAAATGGAGCAAAACTGTTGCTAAACAAGTGCCTTGTTTAGCAACAGAAATGTGGGGCTCAATTGTTGTAAGTCAAAGATTAGCTCCACATAGTATAATGTTTTTTTAGAGAGATGATAAGTTAAAATATTTTCACATAAAAGTCATTGCCTATCCATGATCTGACATCCAAAGCTGTGAATGGAAATAAACATGTGGCAAACCAACATATTCGGCTGTGGAGAATCGAAAAGAAAAACGTCACAAAGGAAACTAGCTAGAACAATTTAGCCACTGAAGCTTGTATTTGAAACTGATACAAAAGTCACCCATTTGATTGAATTGCCTTTGCTATTAGGTGGACTCAAGTGAGGCAGATATAATAGAGGACTCTACCATGGAATCGGACTGTTCTCCAGATAATGATGGTACATTCCAGTCTTCAGCTTTAACACTGCATAGTGGCATTTGTGGTGATGATCTCAAGCTTGCTCTTTCTCTGCCCTCTTCAACTCCCAAGGTAAAATTATGGGGGAAATATATGAGCAGGGATGTGAGCAGAAAGACACTTTGTTAATACCTATAAAGTAGCTTTTTGAAAATGTTTGTTTGGATAGTGAAGGTAATGTTGCCAGTTGGTTCTATTGGTCCATAGTTTTTTTACTAGATTAAAGAGTAATTTCATTTAGATAGTTATACTGATAGAATAACTTTCAGCTTTTCAGTATTCAGCAGAACATTTACTATAATTTTAGGTGTTCCTAAACATGGTTCAAAGAAATCTAAACAATAACAAGCCATTTATGGAAAGACATGTAAGTAAAATGAATACTACATGCTTAAAGTTCAAGCATTAAAAACTAATTTTCTTAAAGAAAATTGTTAACAAATCGCTAGAAAATCATTGCTCAAAAGGTCGCTCAAATTCTTTTGTCAAAAGGTCAAATTCTTTTTTTACTTTTGATGTTAACTTTTTTTATCATGTTAGCTTTTCTCTCCTTTTTCTGATTCTTTCTCTCTCTCTCTCTCTCTCTCTCTCTCTCTCTCTCTCTCTCTCTCTCTCTCTCTCTCTCTCTTGGATCATTCTGCATATTTCTTTTAACGTTCATGGTGGGATCACTGCTGGATTGCCAGTTCATTTTTTGAAATGGATTGTATATTTTTTTTTTATTTTTATTGTGCTTTTATTACTTTATAAGTAACTCACATCTGTTTTTGAAAAAAGTTGATCTTCTTTCATACCTGAAATTTATAAGCTGGCTTTATTTCTTTTGGAATCTTATTTCTCTTGGCACAGCATGGGTGTGATGGCCAGAATTTATTTCCTAATAGAATTTCTTAGACTAAACAGAATGTACCTGTGCCAATGAGACAGATTGCATTGTTCAACTTTGCAATAGTTATGAAATTAGAAATTAATGTGCATGCTGGGAAACATACTCTGCAACAAATCCAGTTTTATACAAGATGTTCTTGAAATCACTCTGTTGTGGCCCATCAGAATAGAAAGAAAATGTTTACCATCAAACTTGGTAGTAGGATTCAATCTGGGTCAGTCACCAGACCAGTTTTCAGACTTGTGGTAGAGTTTTTAGACTTGTGATGGAACCCATCCTCAGGAAACTTTTCTCTGTGTCACATTCTGGTGAGAGAGAAGTTCCCTGAGAATGGGCTCCAGCACAAGTCCAAAAGCTCGGAAGACTACACCTCTGGTCCTAGTGACTGAACCAGATTGGATCCTGCAACATTGTCTTGGAACACATATATTTACCTTCATTCATGAAACTTGGTAGTGTTTATAGTTATCACTTTGTCCCAATAAAAATAATTATATAAAATAAAAATGGACCATGTGGCACATTGAATGTAAACTAGTTATTCTTAGATGTACATGAGAAAGGTTTTTAGACTTCCAAAGGAAGAAATGGTACTTTAGAAATAGAATGAGTTTGGAATTCTTGTTATCTTGTTTGCTAGACTACTTTCAAAGATGATTCCAGTGACCTACTCAGTTACCAGTCATCAGATAAAAACTTGTACACAGTGGATCTAATACAAAGAGAGATGGAGAGTAAACCCGCAGGTGGATGTATGAAACAGATCACAGAACCTCTTCTTGTGAATCCAGCAACACAATCTCAACAAGTTGAACACGAAAGCACAAGCCTTTGGAGAGAATCTCAGCTACCACCCGAATTTTCACACTCTACAAAAGTAAGTTCTAGATTGCCACTTGATTCTCCCAGAAGGATTCATTACATGCATTTGTGAAAAAGCACCATTTTTAGAGATTTAGTAGATCAAAGGGGACTAAAGGTAGGGATGTTTCCCAGGTATTGTTCCTGGTCATTCTGCCTTTTGATCTAGAAGAATCAAATGCAACATAAGTTGGGGTTGTGTGGATTTTATGCACTAATTTGTGGCACAGCTTGCTTTCTAAAATTGAGCTGTGACTCAACATAGCACTTGCTATTCAAGAATATTTTGCTGTACAATACAAAATCATGGGTACGGTATGTAGAGATCCTCCAAGGTTCTCTGTAGAGAGGTGAAATTGTAGATTCATTAGTATACAAAGAAGCATTCCATTTTTGGAGACTAATATGGAATATGCAGTCACTGAAGCAGCAGGCGTGAACTTAAATGGACTCCAGAAGATGGTAGAGGACAGGAAGACCTGGAGGAACGTTGTCCATGGGGTCGCGATGGGTCGGACACGACTTCGCAATTAACAACAACAAATGGAATATGCAACAAGGAGCAAAAGTGATTGTATGACAGAGCAGGTCAGCTGACTGGTACAACTTTCTATACATGGAACCCTGACTGTTGCAATGTGCATCTGCAGGTCACCAGATTGGACAAGTCTAGTTTAAAAAAAAAAATATTGTAAGTCTGTTTGCTGCCAGTTGTGAAAGGTATTCTTATTTCCTCAGCGCAGGTTTTAGTAAACCTTTTTTGTTGTTCACTTGTTTTGAACAGAAACAAGGTCTTTGAAGGACATTACAAATATACAGACTGTCTAGCAGACTGTGATTTTTAAATTACACAAAATCCTATTAAGTTTTCCAGAAATGACTCTTATTTTCTTCTTACCAGGATCACGTATTCTTGATGGGAAATAATAGCTTAATGCCTGCTGGTCTAGATACAAATAAAAACAAGTTGGAGAAGACAATTATCATTGCAAAAGGCAATTCAAGCTTAGGTAATGTACCTCACGTAACTGTACACATCTTTGTTCTTGCGATCCTTATTTCTGCCTAGTTATTCCTGAAAGAAAACTAGATATTAGTCTTTAAGTTGCTTTAATCAAAAAGCAAAGGTTTTTATATATGGTTCCAATAATAATTATAATTATAGCAATCATGCCTATAGATTTTCCTTTCCATACGAAGGCAGGAAGAGTCAGGAGAGAATCAATCTGTTATAATTAGGCAATACATCAATGTCTCCAACCTAATTATCTATTTTTAGTAACTGGGGCATGATATAATTGTCCAAGCAATTTAATTACTAATAAAATTAAGAATAGTTGCAATGCTGAAACTATGGTAACATGAGCTTTTCTTAGTATAATGATGCAAAACCTAAGGACTCTTTATTTGGAGAATTTTATCATTTTTTTTATACTGGAAATAATCAGAAGGAGGAAAATATTGGCCATATTCAAATAATGGAAGGACGAAATCCTTCACTTGTGTGCTTTGTAATACATAAGAACAAATCTTATATACTTTTTTCAACATTATCCCATCTTGGTCTTTCTTTTTCCTCTGCTCACTTTTTTTTATTAAATTAAAAATAAGTTCATTGCCTTTTCCTTTTCTGTTTTCCACTTCTTTCTTTGTGGCCATATGTAAAAAAAAAGCAGATCTCATTTAATTAAGTAGCTTTTTAAACAGAACAGAAGGCATTAGGAATTCATCATCTTTTTGATCTTAACCGTGAGCTTATGCAATGGAGGCAGCTGTAGACCTGAAGAGATAATCTAATATGTCAGACTCAGCTGTTACCAGGTTTTTTTAGTGAGAATTTTCTAGCTGGTGTTTTTTGACCTGCCAGGCGTATCTTGCATGTTGATTCCTCAGATCCTACCAATAAGATATTAATTTTTCTTCAAGTTATTATTAAAAAAATTGTGGAAGTATGAGTATATTGGTAGAAATACAGATAAACATGTAAATAAAAACAATTTTGGAAAATGAATGTTGTTCGATGTAGGATCAAGTCAGATACCAATTTTGTTCCCATATTTCTTTTTTTTTTTGTAAAAGTTTTTATTAGTTTTTTTTTCCATGTTCCCATATTTCTTATTAGCTTTAAACTTTTTTTTCTGTAAGGGATGACAGTAAGTTCTAATAAAGATGGCATGGGAATGATAGTTCGCAGCATTATCCATGGTGGTTCCATAAATCGTGATGGACGAATTGGTATTGGAGACTGTATATTGTCTATTAATGAGGAACCTACTGCTAATTTAACTAATGCCCAAGCACGGGCCATGCTGAGGAGGCATTCTGTCATTGGACCGGATATAAAGTAAGTTGGGTGTCATACAGATTGGTAGAATTTCAAAAACGGTACGGATCAATTGTCACCGCACTTGTTGAGTGTTTTTTTTAATTCCATGATTACTTTTAATTCAGTATCTTAATGAAGTTTCAGTATTAAACTGGATTCTACATTGATGGAAGAAGTTGAAATGTCTTCTGTGAATCACAGCCAGCTAATAGATGTTGATGAGAATTCCAAAATTGCAATCTAGTGTGGCAGTTTGATGATCCCATTCACTGGTTTGATATAATTTCATGGGCTCAAATAAATACATGGAACTTGCCAGCCATTTGCAATAAGGGAGAAAATGTTTTCCCGTATTACTTAATCTTACAAATATGTAACTATAATGAAAAAACTCTGAACTTAATCAAAAAATATTATTAAACTAAATCCTGAATTGCCTTCTAAAAATTAAAGCTTAGCAGCTGCTCCTTAAAACCAGCAATGCAATTAGTATACCTGAAGAATATTCACCTTTAATATCTAAGCAATGGAGAAACTTGATGGAATATTATGGCATGAAATCACCTTTTGGGGGGAAAATAGTTTGTTAGATGAATGGGAGGAGCAAACGGCAGACAGGATCAACCCTTTATTTCCAATTAATAGTAGCATTAGAGTGAGAAAGAATTGTATACTGATCCGGGTGACAAAAGGGCATTTAACACCTTTTTGAATCTATTGCTTTGCTGGATTTGTGGAAGACACAGTGATAGTATTTGCATGGGATTTAAATTACATAATTTTTGTTCAGGCAGATCAACTAAAAAAAACATTGGAATTTTATAAATTAAGCTTTGATCTTTTACCTCAGGTGACGAGAAATATTTCAATAGTGGAAAATGGTGAATATAGAAATTATGATACATAACATTAAAACAGAAGAATTATGCTTTCTCAGTATATTTTTTACAAATATTAGGAAGAAAACTGTATTTTAAGTCTCTCTCTCTCTCTCTCTCTCTCTCTCTCTCTCTCTCTCTCTCTCTCTCTCTCTCTCTCTCTCTCTCTCTCTCTCTCTCTCTCTCTCTTTCTCTCCTTTTCTTTCTTCCCTTCATATATAAAGATTTTTTTTCCTAAACAGAAAAGCAGATGTATAGCATCATCAGGATATATCTGTCTTCACTTCTCCCTGCACCTTACATTTCTTTAACAATATCTAGAGACTTTTGCTTTTAGCAGTAGTTATAACAGCTGCCTCTAACATCTGCCAGATAATTACAGAGCTGATTCAGAATTCACCTGCCTTAACCGAACGTGTGGAGATGAATCTCTGATCAAGGAATAAAAGATTGATTGCGGTTGCATTTTTCATGCTTGTTAATAATCATTGATATACACTCCAATAAAGAACAGATGCTTTCTGATGGGAGGTGTGGATAGAATAGAGGTGAAGAGGGGAAAAAAGGAAAGTAAGCAGGAATGCACACTTTTAAATACGTGTGTATGCATCTCTCATTGAGTAGAAGTCACTGACATTTGTTAACACTATTGTAAAAAGATGCTGCGTCGTATGCTTCACATTCTAGATCTTCTCCAACACCTGCTGATGATCAGGGCCCCTTTTATGTGTGAGTATTGGCGATTCAAAAGCTCATTATAGCTCTGTGTTCCAACTTGTCTGTTCATTCATTCATGCTTTCATAACATCAGAAATAGCTGGGATGTATCCAGATATAGGTACTGCATAATATACACAGACACACAGATGCTTTCACCCAATTAAAACCTATTACTAGATAAGATTACCTGATTAATTATTCAACTATATCAAATCCTTCAATTTGTAGGTATATTTGGAGCTCTATGATGAATATAGCTTTAATTGGTTAAAAACATGGCATTCATCTTTTAAAGATAAGTTTATAGAAGCCAGGTTGATGGTTTAGATTGGAACAGGGAACTTGCAGAGCAAAACTCTCAAGCTTCACCCAGGATGACCAGTGGTGTGAGATGTTGGGAATTATAATTCAGTAATTGCTAGAGGTACTCAGGTTTTGCACCCCATCTTATTTCTCAAACAACAATGTTTGCCAAATATCAATCAAATTTCCAACTTCTTTTTGTACCTAAGCAGTCCGGTTAATATGTGGATAGGGGAATGCTATAGAATCCTTTCTGTGTTCCTTTGAGATTCATGCTCAAAGAAATGCAGGCTGTAAATTATTTAGGATGCAGTCTTGTGGGGAATGATGGGTTGTGCATATCTTTGGAGTTGAAAACAAAAAGATATTTCAGAGCATGCAAGATGATGTCCTGGCCTGCAGCTCTTTAAATCAAGACAACTTTTTCTTAGGCTCATACAGTATATGTGAGATCCTGGGGAAAGGGTTGGCTGCTTTAAAGAATGACAATTGTATGTGTCCCTCTACACACTTTGAAGCACCTTTTTGCCTTTAAATTTTAAAGGAAGACTAATACTTAGATTTTCCATTCAGTGGTCAGAGAGAAAATTTGGATTTTGGAGAGGAAAATCCATTGTTGGAAACATCAGATAATCTACTTGCCAGGATTTAGTCAGGAGATGTCCTGGGAATCCAATCTATTAATCTACCAGATCCAAAGGCGCCCTAATTGTCCATTAACTAAGGTCATCTACACAAGCTATGGAGCTGCGAAGGGATAAATTTCCTTCCTTTGATTTAAAAAAGGAGAGAAATCCATCTTTAAACATCCATAGTGTAGAAACAAAGCAGAAATATCCCTGTTTCTTTGGGATCTATATTTCCTCCACGTATCCATCAGAGAAACAGATATCTTGAAGCTGTTTCCACCGTTACAGGTGGATGGCTAAAATTGGGCACAGCATTTTCTGGATTAAAAGTGAAGTCATGTTTTATTCTCTTCCTTAAAAGATACATATTTATTCAACAGTTGTTAGAAAAAAGTTAATTTCTTGATAGCTCTTATTAGCTTTTTGTTTCAATGTCCCACCATTTTTGTTTGGGATTCTTTTTCCCCCCACAACAGCAACAATATTTCTGTAGATAATTGTAGCACAGGTAACTCAGAGGTTCCCCATTTACCCGTTTCGTCTCATAGTTACAACATAGAATAGGACAGAGGTGTCAAACTGGCGGCCCGCGGACCAGATGCGTCACGTGCAGGCCACACCCACCCCAGCTTCGCAAAGGCAAAAAACATGGCGATATGTCACAATATGTCACAAGTCTGGCACCCGTGGAATAGGGGAAGAAAGAACGTTTATGGACTTTTCACACTGCTAAGCTTACAGTGGTGGATACACGGAACACAGCTGCTTGATTTTCAAGGAGTACTTCAGCCCTTCTCATGCCAGATTGTGAAACTCCATTTCAGTTTAGAAATCCCAGCATCCTTCATATTCCTGATGCTATAGTATAGCTTTTCAGATTTCATATGTCTGGGTATTATACTATTTGTTCAATTACCATTAGTTTAAGAAAAATCCAACATTTATATAAAGGGAAGCATCAAATTCCAGCGCATTCTTCAAGTATTATTATGTTTTCAAGTTGCTTATCACTGACACAGCCATGTACTGATGTCTGGATTAATCTCACTCTTGTATTTTCAGTAGTGCTTACCTTTTCTTTTCCCTACGCTGTAACTAAATGAATCTTAACTTCATTATTAAAATGGTATTGTGGTTTATTTTAAATGTGATCACAAATTTCTTTATTTGGTTTCTTTCCTATCATAGTATACATAAAACATCTCCGCCTATTAAATCATGCATGTGGTTTATTTCTTTGTTGCATGATACATAATATTTACATCCCTATCTTCTCATTTTAAGTTGATGCAGGATGAAAATTACTCTTGTCTTCACTACCTTCTGAAGAATCAATGTACAATCAGTTTAATCCTTGATCACTTTAGATTAGTAGTGTCTGCCTTGCTAGCTGTGAATTCTGAAATTTCTCATTTAACAGAGAGCCTTCTTTCTATAGTTCCTTTCAGCCAGCAGGAATTAGAATGCAGTTCTGCTTGCTTGGCAGTTCTGCAGCTATTTCCTGCTTAAGCCAAGTGTTTTGGGAGTTACAATGAATATCCTATATACTGCAGGGAAATGCAGTTCTAATAATACAGGTATTTCTTATTTAATGACAACTATTGGGATTGGCAACTTGGTCTTTACATGAAGTGTTTGCTGGTTATGATCATTTCAGTTTCCCTTTGCTTTTCACAAATGTAAGGATTAATTGTAAAGTAAAAGGAGGCAGTCAGTAAATGTGGACTATGTGTAATGATTTTTATTTCTGAGCTGCCAGAGAGTACTTTTAATTTGTTTTCTTTTGGTTTGGTTTGGTTTCACCAGTAAAAACATTGTTGAATGATACTAATTTAATGTCATTTTCATTCATAGCTTTTTATAGCTTTTTAAAGTTCATAGTCTCCTTCACTATTACCTTAGTTGCATTTTGCTTCTTTTTAAATAGCAAATGTTTTAAAAGAATGATATTCTTTCAATATGTGTCATCATGTCTCTTGGGTACTAACTAATACTTTGCTTCCTTTATAAGGAACTGCGTAATCTGGGGATAACCTTCATAGAAAAGAGAGGATATTTTGGCTTAAATTGGTATCTACAAATATTTCACATTTATTCATTGCCTGTCCAAAGTACCCAAGCTGAAGTCCAAAGAATAAAATAGCAATAAAGCTGTTTAAAATATTACAATGTCACCAAAAATTCTAGTTCAATTAACAGTTAAAAACAGTGTAAAACAGGAAGTTTTAAATTCCTCACTTCACAGAAGTGAGGTGTAGCTATAGTGAAATTTTTGAATATCCGTTCTGTTATGTCTATCCATTCACTAAGAAAGTTGAAACTTTACCAGTTTAATTTGAAAAATAAAAAAGTCACTTACAGAACCTCTTAGCTGGTAGGAGGAATAATAGATGTTTGCTCAAGGTTTCCAGATTCAAGAATGAGGGAAAGTTAGAGGACTGCCTTTAATCAAAAATAAACATTATTAGATTCAGTTAAGGAAAAGACACTGTTTCTAGACAGTGAAGTTGCAATGTGTTTGTTTCACAGCACAGAAAGCACATTATAACTGATACGATATTATATGATTATAATATAATACAGTATGTAATGCAATGCAGTGCAATACACATTGACTTGCATGGTTTGCATTTGGTGCATTCCAAATACATGAAAAGGAGGCTTTCTGGATTAAGAAGAAGATATTTGTGCAATGCCACACTGTGAATTATAGCCTTAAAAATCTCTGTTGCTCAATACTGAACTATATCCAGGCATCTGCAGCTTTTAATTTCATGTTTACTTTTGTGTTGCAGCATTAGCTATGTGCCAGCAGAGCAATTAGAAGAGTACCAAGCCAACGTAGGGCAGCAGCCAGAAGGAACAATGCCATTAGATGTTTTCCCTTCACACACTGTGAGGTAATTTAGAATACTGTACTACTAATAAAAACAACTCCTTTTGCTTTAATTCAATCCACCCATGCATTAAAAACACTATCCATGAATGGATGAAAAAAAACTGTATTGATATTGATTGGAAAAATACAAATTTGCTTGTTCTTTCTTTGTGGGAGTAGAGGGGAACGTTGGGTTATAAGTATTTATTTTAGATAAGGGAACAAAAAAGTTTAAATGTAGTCAACAGAATATGCAGGCTTATCATTTGTACCCCAAAGTATACTGCTCACAAAAATAAAGGGAACGCAAACCCCTTCAATTCCATGGTAAAATGTTCCCTTTATTTTTGTGAGCAGTATATTTATGGTATATTGACCCTCAATTTAACAGTATGACTGGGAATGGGGGTGTTTCTTATTGCCAATTGTTCATTAAATTGGAGAATATATCACTGGAACTACCTTTATTCATCGCATGATGATGCTATTAGGCAAATTAAGTAACTGCATCAGTTTATTTGAATAATAATGATGTTATTCAAATGATGTACATTGATACGAGTGATGTGAATCACTTCCAAAATTTAGTCTGTTTCATGCAAAGTCCATTTTATCAACATTTCTGTAATGTCCTGGCTACTAGTTAAGCTGGGACTTCAGAAAGTGTTCACACTGTATTGACTTGAGATGAACATAACACACACTGATGTTTTGCCTGACATTATCTGTTAGAAAGAACCACCCAATAAATTCCCAACAATTCCACTTCAAATAATCAAACTGTTACTTATTTTAAATGAGATGTATGGAGATAATTTAGGTCTTTCTGTGGGATCTTGCAAACCTAATCGCCATTGAAATTGCCCGAAATATCATTTTACTGGGGGGGGGGGCAGGGGTAACGGGTTGTTACCGTGAATGTAAGTAATTAGCATAGTTGTATAATTGCTGCAGGGAGTGGGGAGATATATCAAAGCCAAAGCATCATTAGTTAAATTCATTGTTTGTTCCACTTTATGGAAACTAGACAATTATAAAGCCTAGTTTAATCTCAGTAGGGACACCATATGTTTCATTTCACCTTATTTCCCTTCCCCATTTTCTTCAGTACATATAGAAAAACAGTGAATTCATGCTAAATGGCCTGTAATATGTGTGCAGTTTCTAACATACCTGCCCACATTCCCCTGCTCCTTTTTATGCACTGCAATGAAAGTGGAACAGATGGTATGTCCTGGTTCATGTATTGTACTAAGCCTTGATTTGCAGTTGGTTTTACCGATTATGCTTAGCCATAAATGCCTAATTGGATTAATACAGTATGCTAAATTAAAATCATGCAAATTACAGTGAGGCTTAGCATAGCATCTACATTCAGATTAGATGTATTAGAAACTTTGATGTAATCCCAAATTATCGAATGGAGGCTCCTGCCTTTGAAAGGTTTTCTGGGGCATAAAAATTGTATTTCTTCCATATATGGATTGAAACATGAAGAAGAATGTGAACAAAAAGTTTTATTAAGCTACTGTGGGTTTGTGTTTTGGGAAGCACTGTCATCAGCTTAATATATGATTTAGTCTGAAATTAGGTGAGATATAGCATTTGTCTTTGTACTGGAAGAGAAATCTAGTTGCTGTTCTGCAAGAAGTCTCTTAAAAGGACTGCGTATAAATTAAATATATATTAATTAATTAGAAATGTTTCCTTGGAAAATTCTGTGAGTGGAATCCAGTGATATGGTATGTTTCTCATTATTTCTCTCTCAAAAAAATGGAACTCTCCCTGAGCAGATTTTTGAGGTCTTTCAGAGGGCTGTATGGAAGAGTGAAAGAAAGCAATCCTGTTGTGTGAGCTGATGATTTTTCCTATTATATAAGATTATGGCTAGAGGGTAAAGATTAGTATTTCCCATTTTCATTGGAACTCATTAGACTGTATTTTCCAACCAGGAAGACCTGGAGGAACGTTGTCCAAGGGGTCACGATGGGTCGGACACGACTTCGCAATTAACAACAACAACAACACCTTCCTCCAAACCTCTGAAAAACTTGTTCTTTAAAATCTGACTTCTATAAAGTGTAGCAAGCTTCCATTGAAAAAAACAAACAAACCTCATCTCCATATATCCATATAACATTGGAAATGTGTTTGGTCATGTATATCGAGGCGTTTGATATTTGATCTCAGCCAATATCACATGGCTTATATTTAAAAAGACGAACAAGGCAATATGCAAATAATACAGATGTTTATGAATTTGTATCTAAGTTTTAATATTGTTTGCGCTGATAAATCTCAGGATGTATCAATCTATTTATTCTGTCCTTGCATAATTTCATGACTGGTCTAGCCGGTCTTATTTTTTTTCTCCGTCCAATGATCCTTTACTGTTATTGTTGCCTTATTTGCATCCATCTTGTTGTCATTGTTATATTATTATCCCCCAATACATGTTTCTGTTCGTTACAGGTTTTTAAAGATATATTGTGCTAATTTACCGGTTCGTCAAGTTTTTCACATGTCCCAAAATATTAAAAGAACTGTTTTGGGGATCATAATAATTTCTTTTGATACAGAGTAAAATTTGTTTACATGCAGAGAAATTCCAGAACTACCAGAACGCGAAGAAGGAGAAGGAGAAGAAAGTGAGCTTCAGAACACAGGCTACAGTAACTGGAATCAACCAAGACGGTGTGTTTCAGAGCTAGAGCCCAGTTGATCAGTTTTAAAGTTTTAAAAGAGAATACATTCGTTAATGACTGTTCAAATTTACCATGGCACTGAAAAAAAGAGACGGATGATCATTTTTCACATGACCCTTGCAGAGTCGCTGTGGTGACATGATCAAAATTTGGATGCTTGGCAACTGGCGCTATTTATGACGGTTGCAGTGTCCCGGAGCCATGGAGCCATCTTTTGCAACCTTCTGACAAGCAAAGTCAATGGGGAAGCCAGATTCTCTTAACAACCATATTATTAATTTAACAATTGCAGTGATTTATTAAGAAATTTATTCGCTGCCCATCTAGTTCAAATAACTCTGGGTGACTTAACAGCATAAAAACATTAAAGTCATGAGATATAAAATGACAAATCAAGTAAAATAAAATCATTTAACACAAGATAGAGAAGGAGGGAGCCATGTACACGGGGAGGGAAGGTGGGATTGACTTTTAATTAGTCAACCACAATAATAAAGGGAGGATAAAAATACATAAATAAAAATAATTAAATAAAATGTACCTCACGAACAAGCCCTATAGCATGCGGCTGTTTTAATTTTAAGCATCTAGTTTTTCCTGTTTAGTAAAACCCTTCTTCCTGACTATAATGCACCTCAGTCAATACAATTTATTTTTTGTTGATTTGTCATTGCAGGGTTGAGCTCTGGAGAGAGCCTAGCAAGTCTCTGGGAATCAGCATTGTTGGTGGGAGAGGTATGGGAAGTCGTCTGAACAATGGTGAAGTTATGAGAGGAATCTTCATCAAACACATCCTTGAAGACAGTCCTGCTGGCAAAAATGGAACCTTGAAAACAGGAGATAGAATTGTGGAGGTATTATGTTGGTTTCCATTTTTTAAATGGGCTTAGAACAGGGGTGGGGAACTACGGCCCCTTTATGACTTGTGGACTTCAACTCCCAGAATTCTTGAGCCAGCCATGCTTGGTCAGTAATTCTGGGAGTTGAAGTCCATAAGTCGTAAAGGGGCCATAGTTCCCCACCTCTGTCTTGGAATGTAATAATGTTTTTGCACATTTCTGAGCAAAACTTTATTTTTGTAAGAATCTTTTATAAGAATATTTTTTTTGTAAACAATATTTCATAGTTTTTAAAATGATTTTATTGGGAGCTGCCCAGAGTTTGAAAGATGGGTGGACATGTTTAAAATAAATTAATAAAAAATAAATACACCATATAGCGCCATCTCACTTTTAAAAGTAACCGATGTTATTTAATTGGAGATGTTACCTGCCTGAGCAGGGGGTTGGACTCGATGACCTCCAAGGTCCCTTCCAACATTATTATTATTATTATTATTATTATTATTATTATTATTATTATTATTATTATTGTTGTTGTTGTTGTTGTTGTTGTTGTTGTTGTTGTTATTATTTGCTTACAACAGTGAAACACAAACACAATCTTGATTTGAAAGGATGAATTATTTATCATTCATTTCCAAAGGTGTTTTATAGATTATGCCCACTGCCACGTATTTTGACTCTGAAACATTTACTTAGAGACCAATGGACAAATATGAGTAATATGAATTTATCATACAAAATGATGTATAGAATCCACTGATTTATGCCAAAGACTGATAGTCTTGAATTTAAGATAATCCTAGATTCCAAACAAGAATTAAAATTATGTTATGTTTGAAGGACAGCCAGTGAAATCAGTCTAATTTAAGCTCCATATCTGAACCACTAAAGATACAGATTAAATTCTCTGACGTAAAACAATGTTAAATTATAACTTATAATAATAACTTCCATTCTCTTAGTGTATCCTGAATATTGCAGTCTGTTGACGATGTCCATGCATAATAATATGATTTTGCTAAATAATGACATACTGCATAGGAGGGACTGAAATTTAGAAGAGTGTGGCTACAGAGTTTTGTTTGTTTGCTTATATAAAATAGAGAAATAGGTATAATTTTTAGAAGTTTATTTTTAGCTACGTGTACTCTCATGTTAATCTTAGGCCTTACATTTTCAGGTGGATGGAATAAATCTCAGAGATGCAAGCCATGAGCAAGCTGTGGAAGCCATTCGAAGAGCAGGCAACCCGGTAGTCTTCACGGTACAGAGCATTATAAGCAAACCAAGGGTAAGCGTACGAAGTAAGAACCAACATATATGCATTCAAAGTTAAGCATTTATCCCAAATTTTGCTAAGTTGAGGAGAACTGAGGCTTTGCTTCCTAAATCTTATATCATCTACAAAGCTAAGAGCAGAATTAGTTGAGGTTGCAGTTAGTCCTTGATTTTGTGGTAGCCTGAAACACTTCTGATTGGAAACAGGAAATTGCACTCCACAGGCTATCCTGTTTAATCGTTCAGAAAGTTCATGAAATATTTACCTGCTATAGATCAGGGGTGTCTGATTCCAAAAGTTGAAGTCTACAAGTCTTAAAGTGGCCACGGTTGGACACCTCTGCTATCAATGATAGAGTAAGGTTTTGAGGATTTTTCCGCACTGTGTTGCTCTGGAGAACATAATATTACTAATGTAGCTGAGATACTACTTACTATTCCAGATCTGTATGTAGCCCATTTTGATTTCCACCCTGTTAGCCATTCCTGCCAGAAAGGAATTGGGATCTATGCAGAGGCTAAGCAATCCACATGAGGCTATATATTTGAAAGATTACGTGGTTGCCCAAATAACGCCTTCTTTTTCCTTGCAATTTTTTCCTGTACTTTTCATTTTGCTCTTAAGCATAAATTGGGAGGGAGAGAAGTCTACAGTGCAGAATCACTGAACAGCCCTCCATAAAAGGACATGGCTTTCAGCCACTTTGCATAGTCATTTTAATATTGTTGCTTGCATCCCTTGAAACTATACTTCCTGTATGTAGATTTTTTTTTTTGTAACTCGCATGTTTGATTTACTGGGTCTTTCATAACTCTTGTTTCCCAGCCAATATCTCTTTATAGCTCTTTAGCATCCTCTGCTCCTGGTGGGCAGAAACTTAATAATCCATTTTACCATCAGTCATCACAGGTAAATAGCATGGATAATCCTGTTGAATGTTGGTGATTTGTATGCAGAACTAACAGGAGCTTGTGAATTTGCCGTGGCATGGGAAAATATATTTTGCTTGCTGAATGTTGGTGATGTAGAAATGGTGCCTTTAGTTTGTGCTCTTTATCTGAAACCCTAATAGCTTCTAAGGGGATTTCCAATGTTTAGTCATAAGCAATCAACCTGAAAGCTAGCTGTATTTTCTTTCATGAAATAAAAAAGAAATAAGGTAACTTCACCGGCATAGATGGCTTCTTCATCCATTGGGGAGAGTTAAAGCATTGCTTTAACGATATGAATGTTTTTCTGTTGATCAACAAATTTTAGCAATTAACAATTCTTATTTTGCTTATACACGATAAAAGTGGTTTATTCTGTTACATATGGTTATGCACTAAATGTATAATTTAACAAGAGTGCAACAAATGCTCAAGCTGTTTTATGGTGGTTCAGAGCTATTGTAATAACAGAAATTATCATTTGTTGGACCCATCTGCCTGTGAAATTTGAGCTAGCACTGTTAGTGAAAGGAGTTATATACTGTAAATGCTTATGGGTGCTTTCTGATTATTTCGAATCATAGAGAGGTTCTATATTTGGTAAGAGTTTTGTAAATAAGGAATGATTAATGCCTGCCTGCATGCATGTATGTCTCTTGTAATCCTATCATTCAGTGTTTATTACCTTCAGTATGTGCTTTTAGTGGTTCCACTGAAATGTGACATGTTTAAGGCGTCTTGAAATTATTCAAGTTAGGGATTTCTCTTTTTTAAAAATATGTATTGTTCAATTCTCTGAAGAAAGGGATAATCTGGTTTATTTCCTGAAACCTGTTTATACACAAGGCGAAAACCTTCTGCTGTGAAGCAGAAATCTTTTTTTAAGGCCTACTTGAGCAGCACAGAGAAGGAAGTTTCATGTAATAATATGAATTTGCAGAGTTCAGAGTAGAGCATTAGGTGGTCTTGGGCAGCAGCACAATAAAAGAGTCAAAGAAAAAAGTACTTTAGCTGAGCTAAATGTTGATAGTCCCCAAAAGTGACCTGATGATTTACTGCTATTTACTACAGTTATATACATATAACTGCAGAATATACATATAAGCAATATCAAATAATGCTGTCTGCTTTTTTCTATATAAGTGCAGCTAAGCTTTTTTTTCCCTGCTCATTTTAATTATCTGGATTTTTTTTTCAGTTTTGTGTTAAATTCAACCTTAACATACATTTAAAAAATATATATAATTTGTTTATTTATTAGATGTATATCCACCTTTTGTTCAGAAGCTCAATATAGTGCACATTATGCTTCACTTTGATCAACTTCTTTCCTATTGAAGGATAAAAAGATTAGGGAAGAGTGAGCAGTTGCTGGTCAGTGTCCCTGCCTTTTTTAAATATATATATATATATTATTCGGGAGAAAACCCGAATAACTAAAGACCTACATACAAACACCCGCGAAAACCTCAGAAAACATATATATATAAATAAATAAAATAATGGTTCTGGCCTGTTATCTGAAAGCTGACCTTCTCCCCCCAAAAAGTATTGCCTTGAAAATAAAGGGAAATATTTTAATTCAGTCTTTGAGGTAAAGTGGACTGATTTGCTCAGAGACCTTTGCTGTATATCAGCAGCAATAAACTTCTTATAAAAAAGTTTCTATTTGGAGCTTTTTGGTTCTCTTCATAAAGAGAAAGCATTGTCTAATCCCTTTTAAGAGGCTGAGGGCTCAACATTCTCACCAGATGTAGAGCAGGTATATGTTTGTTAGTGTATTTCTTTTGAGAATGGAATGTATGTCTAGATAAGGTGGGATGTATGTTAGGTGTGAGGCACTAGAAACTTACCAGTTGAATTGCTGCTTGCCATCTTGTCTTAAAAACAGCGCTCCAAACATAGTAAGAAATTGCCCTAAAAGTACAATGTAAGAATAAACAACAATCTTAAAAAAAGAAAAATGTGCAGAAGTTTTGGGTATCAGGCTTATTACTTGCCCTTCCCTCTCATGTTTTTTCCCCCCAAAATGGTAGGCAAATAAAATGTCTGTTTCCTATATTTTAAAGCTATAAATATATTATTTGCTGAAAATTACGGAGTCGTAGAATGAGCTCATTCTCTCATTCTAACCTTGTTGAGTTTACTTTCTTCATCTCTGTTCCTGTAGTGTGCAGTCTTTATCCCCGGTGAAGAAATGTGCTAAAATTCTATTTAACCAACCTATTTTGATCTTCATTTTAATAAGTCAGAGCAGAACAAGTAACAAATGTGCATATTTACCCAGATAGGTGAATCCAAGGGCTTATCTACATCCTGGATGGCACAATCACCTTAAACAACAGAGCAGCATTTTTGCTTTATTAGGAAAATTTCAGCATAAAAATATTTTTCTTATGATTCATAAAGCTCAAAAAATCTAACGGGAATAACAGTATTAAACTATTAGTTTAAGAAGAAATCCCTATTTCTGTGTGGTACTTGCAGTATAATCACTTTCACAACAGGTAATCCTCAACTTACAACCATTCATTTAGTGACTGTTCAAAGTTACAACGACACTCCAAAAGTGACTTATGACTGTTTTACACACTTACGACTGTTGCAGCACCCCTGTGGTCACATGATCAAAATTTGGGCACTTCACAACTGGCATGTATTTATGGTGTTTGCAGTGTCCCTGAATCATGTGACCACCTTTTGGAACCTCCTGACAAGCAAAGTCAATGAGGAAACCAGATTCATTTAACAACCGTGTTACTAATTTAACAACTGCAATAGTTCACTCAACACCTGTGGCAAGAATGGTCGTAAAATGGGGCAAAATTAATTTAGCAGCTGTCTTATTTAGGAACAGAAATTTTGGGTTCAATTTTGGTTGTAAGTCGAGGACTATCTATACGTAAGCTACCATTTGCTACTGGGCAAATGCTGATCATGCATGTGTGAATGTGCCCTATTATATGTGTGTGTTTTGATTAGCAAGTTCCTTTCTGTTTTTATTTTTTATAGAACTTCCCCATGTCTTACCTGCAGTCCAACCCTTTCACTAAGCCTCCTGCCTTCAGCAGCACTAACCCTTTTGTTGACCCTCTGCAGTTCAACACTAACAAGGTTGGATTATGCCCATGTGTTTGTGGTGGACTTGGTGAATATGTGTGTATCCTTTTTCCCTTCCTTTCCTAGACCCTCATTTAATAATATTAATAATGTTTCATGTGCCAGTGGTTTGTTGGAAGTGAATATTCTCCATATTGAAATATGGCCATCACGCTCATCCCTCTCATCTCCTCCCATTGATTAAAGAATGGGTGGCCTAGAACAGTGGTGGCGAACCTATGGCACGGGTGCCAGAGGCGGCACTCAGAGCCCTCTCTGTGGGCATGCGCGCCATCGCCCCAGTCCTAGGCCTTCAGATGGGTTTTATAAAATCTTTTAGCTTTAGGCTTCCGCCGCTGTGTGCAAAAAAAAAAAAAGGTTTAGTCAATTTCAACTTCTCGCGGGGAAAAAAAAAGATCTTGCAAAGTTGGAATTGATTAATTGAACTTTTTAGTCCCACCCAGTCTGCCGTTACCACCGCAGCCACGCCCAGCCAATGGGCCACACCCACCCAGCACTCAACGATGCATAAGTGGGTTTTGGGTTGCAGTTTGGGCATTCAGTCTCTAAAAGGTTCGCCATCAATGGCCTAGAACTAAATTATGGCATGGAGGTAGGAGAAATTTTGATAGGGTCTGATCTATCAACAGATGATGGTAGGTCTTGTTGGAATTTTAAAAAGTTCGGATTTTAAATGTAACTTTCTAACATGATTTGGGTTTACTTAAAGGGGAAATTTAGAGCTGAGTTAATTGGCAGAATGAATGGAGTCCTGTTACTTTTGAACACTGGACTTTGGAGCTTTTGACCAAAACATGGATAGAAATATTTTTCCCCTTCCACAAATCCTGTTAGGCTTGTAAAAAGTTAACCTAGCAAATATTGACTACAGCTAGTTAATGGTACAATCTTATTCTCATGTATCCGGAGGTTAGCATTAAAGCGACCGTAAACAGATGTTGGATTGATTGTAAGTGAATTGTTTGTGCAGTTAGAAATAGAAAGTTCTGTTTTTACAAGACCAATTTAGTCTAGTGGTTAAAGCACTAGGCTAGGAACCAGGAGACTGTGGGTTCTAGTCCCACGTTAGCCATGAAAACGACTGGGTGACTTTGAGCTAGCCTGTCATTCTGGGGAGAATAGGAGGAGGAGAAAGGAGTATTGGGTATGTTCACAGCCTTGAGTTCTTATAAAAATAAGAAATGCTCCCCATATTACCCCTGAATAAGTCAAATTATTCAGTATATATCCTCATATATATTAACATTTCTGCATTCCCATCCTTTACTTTGACCCTCTGACAATTTCAGAGGCATCATCTTTGCCTTCTAAATATATCTGCTACTTTAGTACGAGCGTAAATAATGTTCATGCCATACCATGAAGAATTCGGGAATTCCCATGACTAAATGTACATCTGATAGTATTAATTGGAGAAAGACATTGATGTCTCTTTTAAGACATAACCCCCCTTTCTCAGCAGTTTATCCAATTTCAGACATTTTATTTCCGTTCATTTCTTAAGGCCTCTCCACACATTTTCTTGAGGGCATGGAAATCAATTTCCAAAGTAAGTTCTGCAAAAGGCATCTTTTTTAGTGATTGATTGATTGATTGATTTAAAATTCCCATAAGAAGCACTTCCAATGGTGTACCCAGTTGAAGGAATGCCGTCTGTGTGAAGCCAGTTAACGTATGGCATCCGTTTTGCCCTTCCTTCGTGCAATCATTCAGTCAGTTTATACAGCCACCCATCTCGCATCAGTGACTCTGAGCAGCTCACAAAATTAAAAACCACAGTAAAATATATTAAAATACAAATAACCATAAAACCAAATTAAAAACCATCAACATGAACAGAAAACATTTATTTTTCCATTTGTGAAAACAAATTAAAAAATACTTCCTACTGATTTGCTTTTCCACAGCAGCTCTTCTCTGCCATCTCTTAATACTATAGTATGCAGTATGCACTATTTATAGTAGCATCTGTCCGTCCATCATGGGATTCCCAAGAAGAACTCTTGATCCAGGCTAATGCAATGTCTCTATCAGATTTCACCCCCATTTACAATGTCAGAGACAATTTTTTTGATATAAAACAATGCAAAATCAAGAACATAATGATCTTTTTAGAGGATTCCTTCATATTCCTTAACGTGTTCCTCTTTGTCCAGTTTTGGAACTAACATGCAAGGTTTTTGTGGTATGTAGGCTGAACAGACATTTATCTTCACCGAATTTGATTTGCAGTTTCCATCTTGTTTGCTTTTTTATTCCACTGTTGCTGTGTATTTTAACTTCAAAGTCCTGGGTTTTTCTTTTTCATCATTCCATGCATTTCGAGTGACCTTAATTCCTCTCTGCCTTCTCAAACACTGTATTTTCCTTACTCCCCACAGGCATCCAGTCAGTCAGATTCAGAGCCAGAAAAAAAATCATTCTGTAATCTGCCTTTGCCACCTCCTTCGGTATTTCCAGCAATGAGCGGTGAAGTTGTGCTGCAGTCCTCTAACAATCATCTGGAAGATTTGGATAAGGAGGATGAGTTTGGATACAGCTGGAGTAAGTAACTTCTTTGTCTGCAGTGTGATGTTTTCAATAGTTTTTCTTTAATTTGCTTGAGTAGAATCTGTGGTCACATCTAACAGCTTTGTTGTTTCCTTGTGCTGTAAGCATTCAGTCTGGGCCATAAGGCTTTAATATAATTGTGCTTCGTGTGTAACGCAGGAATGATTGTGATTGTTATTAAAAATACTCCTAAAAGTAGCATATAAATATAGAAAGTATCTTTATAACGAAGGAAGGAATGATGGATAGATTCTCACTTTCCTGTTTTAAAAAATGAAGCGGCTGGGAGCCTGCCTTTTTCTAACTTTGGCAAGTGAATAGAAACATATATTCATTCTTTTTGTAATGTTGAGTTGATGTTGGGACTATTGAATTCCAAAGTTGCAGTTCCTTTACAATTTTCCAAGCTCGATTTTGACTTCGCCACCCATTTGAATTTTGCTCTCTTTATAATTAGGGAAAATCAGTCACCAGTATGGCAACCTGTCAGGAGATCTGCACATGATAGAACTGGAGAAAGGGAAGACTGGATTAGGACTCAGCCTAGCTGGGAACAAAGACAGATCCAAGATGAGTGTCTTTGTAGTGGGCATTGATCCAAATGGAGCGGCTGGAAAAGATGGCAGGCTGCAGATTGGAGACGAGTTACTGGAAGTAAGTGTCTAATAGACTTAAATGAAATATACTGACCTTAAGGACAGAAGAACAATTAATTCAAAACAATTAATGGGTATA